GGGGCAATACTCTTCATTGAAAAGTGGTCTTGTGGAGGCTCTTGCTCCGCCCCTCCCTCGCCCCCTTCCCCCTCCCCCCGCCAGCTCTGCTTCCCTTTGGCTTCTGTGCCCCTCCCGCCTGGGAGAGCTGCTCCCCTGAGCCAGGAAGGGGGGGGGGGGGGAAAGAGGGGAGGCCTCAGGGAGAGCACTGGACCTTCGGAGGAAAGTGTTGGACAGACAAGTGCCCTGATTATGGTGAAGGTCCCAGCTGGACTCAATAGGAAACCTGTCTTTACCTGGAGTCTGCTTGCCACACAACCCACAGAGCTTGACTCTCCAGGTGTGAAGCATGCTCCACCACTTGTTAGCCTTGTGACCTTTTGCGGGTGGCTCAGACCCTGTGTCTTTCATTGTAAAATGGGGATGGTAGTGATCATATAATAGAACCTCGCACAGTTGTGATGAAAATAAAATGAGCTTGGCAGGCCCCTAGCACTACACAATCGTTCCTTACATAAGTAAGTTGCCTGCTGTTTGCCATTTAGAATAGAGGTAGGCTGGGCATTGGAGAGTTTTCCCAGGGGAAGGTGGAGTTTCAGAAGCCAGGGAAGGAATCTAGTTAATTGCTAAGATTTTTTTTTTTAATCCATTGCTAGGATTCTTTTTCCCCCTTGATTTTTTTATTGACACTATTACAGATGTGACCAAACCCCTACCTTTGCCCGCCTCCACCCAGCCCTGAACCCCCTTTCCCTCTAGCCATCACCACACTGTTGTCTGTGTCTCTGAGCTATATAAATATGCTCTTTGCCTAATCCCTTCATCTTCTTTCATCCAGTCCCCCCCCACCACTCTGACATCTGCCAGTCTGTTTCATTTATTCATGACTCTGTTTCTATTTTGTTCATCAATTTATTTTGTTCATTAAATTATATTTATAAGTGAGATCACATTGCTAAGATTCTTAACCAGGGGTACTAGGTATGTTTCTGTCTTCCAATACCAGAAACGAGTGGCTGTTTCAATAAAACCTTAATTATGGATACTGAAATTTGAATTTCATATTATTTTCCCTTGTCACGAAATATTATTCCTCTTTTATTTTTTTATTTCCACAATTTTAAAAATGTAGAGACCATTCTTAGCTAACAGGCTAAGTGAAAACTAGACAGTGGGCCAGATGGGGCTGCAGTCCTGGTTTGTAGATCCTTGCTCTAATAGAGGTTAGTAGTGGAACAAGGACCTTCTCCTGAACTTCTTACCTTAGTGGGGTTCAAAACCCCTCCCCATCTTACTTAGATGATTCAAGCTAAATGAAATAATGCACATCAGCATTCAAAATGCCATGAAATGAAATATTATGCCTTATATAATAATTTCCTTACTTCTGCAACTGTCTCCAAATAATATAGAAGCATGGGTTCTCTGTCTGGCATTCTGCAATCTTTAGTAAATGCTCTGCCTTCCTTACAAAAAAAGTTCAGCATTTAACCAGTTGCCTGAGCCTGAAACACAAGTGTCCTCATTTTGTTCATCTTGAAATCCTACAAATTCTGCTCCCAATCTCTTAAATGCATACAGTCCTTCACAGTTTGACTGCCACCATCCATCTTCTCTATTAGCCACCACAGTCTTCCTGCCTTCAGGCCTACCACTGACCAATCCATTCTCCAAGTCGAAGGGAAATGGAATAACTGCCAAAACCTTCATTGTCCTCAAGAGAAAACCCTAGGATGTCATTAACCTGGCCTCACCTTCCACACTTGTTCAAGGCCTCACACACACACACACACACACACACACACACACAGAGAGAGAGAGAGAGAGAGAGAGAGAGAGAGAGAGACCCCTCTTTCTACTATACTGAGCTTCTTTTAGGTTTGGAATGTGCATTCCCTCTCTTATTGGCTTGCTGTAACTCTGTCTGGAACTTTCTCTCTACTGATCTAGCTTATCCCCATTCATCCTTCAGCTCTCAGTTGGGATATCACTCCCTGTGGGAAAACTTCCCTTTCTATCCCTTCAAATCCGGGTGAGATGTTTGACACAGTAATCATCACACTTACCAATTGTTAACCAGAGTCACTGTTTATCATCCTTTGGAAAGTTCTATTTTCCTCAGATCGCTCCAAGTATTTCCCATCAGACCTGACTTTCTGCAATGAGACCTTGACAGTCTCCCCATCACGGGTAGAGCTTACCTCTCTTCCTCTTGAGTCTAGACAGGGCTTGTAGCTGTATTACCAATGGAATATGGTGGAAGTGACACTGTGCCAATTCTGGGTGTGGTTCTAAAATGGCCTGGCAGCTTCTGCTTCCTGCCTCTTGGAAACCAGCTACCAGGTAAGAAGAGCAATGGCTCTGAGACTAGCATTCTAAGAGAAGCCCTTGACGCATGAAGGAGAGTCCTGGAGGAAGAAGTGCCATGTGAAGAAAGCGACAGAGGCCAAGGACACGAATGCCCAGATATATAGACAAAGAAACCCACTTGGAAGTGGGTCCACTTGCCCTAGCTGACCCAGCTGATGAAACAGGAATACCCAACTGTTCCTTCTCCACTTCCAGACCCACAGAATTGTGAGCAAATAAAAATGGTTATTTTAAGCCACCCAAGTCATTTGTTTCATGATAATTGGAAAATATGCTTTTATGTGACAGGAGAGATGAAGTGGACTTTCAAAGCTCTCTGGGCTAAAGTAAAACACTGATAAATATTTACCCTATTAGAAAGTAGAGATGTCTAATTAAATGTTATTACCAAGGCAACTAGCAATCCAGCAAGATCAACAATTATTTTTTAAATATATTTTTATTGATTTCAGAAAGGAAGAGAGAGGGAGAGAGAGATAGAAACATCAATGATAAGAGAGAATCATTGATCAGCTGCCTCTTGCACGCCTACCCCCCCCCCCCTTACTAGGAATGGAGCCCACAACCCAGGCATGTGCCCTGACTGGGAATCAAAGCATGACCTCCTGGTTCATAGATTGATGATCAACCACTGAGCAACATCGGCTGGGCAAGATAAAAAATTATTATACTAGACTTGAGAGATTAAATGTTGAATCTTACAGGCCATAGCATTAGCCTTGGAAGTTCATGTGTCTTGAAAGGCTCCTCTGTTATAAGTAGCATTTCCAGGGACAACTTCATAATTAAAGAAAACAGGAAAGAATGACTTCCCTGGACATTTTGCCCACTTCTATACTGGATGTGTGATACTCTTTGGGAGGTTTTCAGTTTATTACCTTTTAAAGCTGCCTCTGAGCCTCAGAATCCCCTCCACCGCCGAAACTATAACAGGAGTAAGAGCTTCTCTTTCTTCTCTTTGAGAATCCAGTGGCAGGTAGAAGTCAAGTCAAAGGGATGTATTGTCAGGCCTGAAAAGTCAAAAGACTTAAAGTGAGGAAAACAAAGTTAGGAGGGGACAAATGTTTATAAATAGAATATGGGGCTTGTCACATTTCACTATAGCAGGGCTCACTTTTGAGCTGAGAAATGTGACATAGAGCTTTAAACACTTTTCTCACTGTCATTTTCTACCCAGACAGAAATGTGGAGCAGGAAGCTGGATATATGAGTGGGTAAATAGACCATCGATGGTCTTGGGAACCCTGGGAAACAAAGAAAACTACATGCTGATATGACAATGAAGAGAGCTTTCCCTAAATAATTCCAAATAGCAGCATTATAATCTTTAAAGATACCTATATAATCAACATATTTTATTTGACCTTTTTTTCTCCTTACTCAAAAAATGTTTTTCTCTTCTATATGACTTATTAACTTTCTTCTCAAAGATCTATTTTATAGAAACATATGGACATCTTGTACATTTTATTATTTGCAACTTCTCCTTCAAGCAGTAAACTAAAAAATTCTTTCTTGCAGATTGATTAGGCTTTGGTGACACTGTAGCTACTGTTCATTAAATGAAAAATATCTCTGGACAGTTCCATAGTAGGGATACAAACTCACTGAACCCAGGAAATTAATTAGCTCTAAGTCTGGGACTGAATATTTTGTAAACATTACTTTATGAAGGCCATTAATGTGTTGGTGGTTGAGGACATCCAAATATATCCAGAAAAGATGGGGATACATGACTCCCACTTCTACTCTTGTGAGAGGCATCTGCATAGACCTGGTTTGTTCCATCGACCATGGTTCTGGCTCAGAAGCTGCATGTAATCATCTGTTGTACAAAACTCATAAATGCATTCCTGTCTTTCCCATGTGCTTTTGGCAGTATGCCAGGAAAGGATGGCTTAGGAGCCTTTCTTCTTGGCAACAGAAGTTTCCTAGAATTCATCACAAGCACAACACTCTCAGCCCTGAAAGGCCGATTCATCTGTGAACCAGGGAAATAGAGAAATTGAGGTGAATAACTCCCTTGATACTTATGTCAGTGACCATTATAACCTTTCTCATTTTTCAGCATTTATACGGGTGTGTCTTCTGGCCAAATGAAAACTGATTTCAAGATCATAGTATTGGAGCTAAAATAAAGGCTAATTTGAATTAATCACCTAGTTAATGTTCTGTACACTGTGGTGTTTTTGGATAAAATATACTGATGCCAGCAACTTACTTTGCACTAAAATTAACAATAGTAGTAGTAGTAATACCGATTAGGTGGGCAGATGGATGGATAGAGAGGTGCATAAATAGCTAGATGAAAAAGCACCTCCCTTTATCCAATGTTGAGTTGAAATTTTCATTGCTTATCCTCTGTACACTTTGGCGTTACCTCATGGCTTCCTGACTCATGTGAGAGAAGTCAGAGTCAGAGTGGGGTTTTGTAGAAATATTTTCTTGTCCTTTCCAGCCTCAAGTTCTATAAACAAAGGCAGGGTTATCACATGTACCCAAGAGCTGCCTGGGAAAAGCAGGAGCCTTGGTTATCAAAGTTGGAACCTTTAAGAAATATGCTTTTGTCTCCGTCTTTGTTGCATTCAATCAGATCAACAACTATTGGCTAAGTGTTGAGCGCGGTTTCCTGTGGGATTGTGTAAGGCCTTGCAGGACAATAAACCTTTCGGGGGCACTGAGTAATGTAGCCATTTCTGAGCGGGCAGCAGGGAAAATGTGAGACAATTCGCTGCTGCTGGAAGGAGGTCAGCTGAGGCTGTATTCCTGCAAGAGCAGATTGACTTCACTGCGGTGGACCGGGCATCAGAACAAGACAAAATGGTACGTTTAGTGGCAAGTAGCTATGCAATGTCATATCTTACAGGAACACAGGTTCAAATATATGTGCTGTAGAGCTTGAAGTTCACAAAATGTTGGGGGGGGGACCAACTTTAAAAAGTACAAAAATTAGGAATTTCAAATTGCTGGGGTTCCTCCGGGACTTTGGATGGGACTGTGTTATTCTCTCCTGTCTCCCACTCTTCCCCTCCTTCCCCTTCACCGGTTCAGAATCTTGCTCAGGGAAGCTGTCATTTTATGTGTATATCACCACTAGCTCCATTTGGCTTTCTGTTATGTCCTTTAATTTTTCTCCTCACTATTTTTTGGGCATTGCCTTTCCGTGATTTCATATTGGCTTCATAACTGCTTCTGAAAGGCAAAGAAATGCTATTCATTCATTCTTCTTTCTTTCTTTGTTTTTATGATTTTATTTCAGCTACAAATATTCGTTCTTAGGTTCCTGAAGTCTCCCTAAATTAGAGACTAAAGGGTATTTTAGATGGAGATAAAAAGATGTGAGGGAGGTGAATCCTAAGCTGATGAGGTGTACCTATATCTGTATAGCTTTGAACATTGTTGTGGACTGTGATGATTTCATTGGATTTAAAAAATAGTATGCTATAATGTGGTCTAGGGCAGTGCTTTTCAAAAATCTCCTATGTGCACAGGTCACCTGAGGGTCTCAGTAAAATTCATATTCTAATGCAGTAGGTCAGGGTTGGGAACTGAGACTCTGCATTTCTAAGAAGCTCTCAGGTGATGCTGACATTGCTAGCCCATGGAGTACATTTTCAGTAGCATCTTACATTGGTTTGTAAGAAATCTGGTGGCACAAATACAATCACTAAGGGGCTGGTGCAATCACTAAGGTCCAGTTCCAGGGCTGAAGGCTTGTAACATACCTGCAGAGCAGGTACTTATTGACCAGCGAATGCATGGGGACTCTTCCTGACTCCCTTTATCTCCTATCCCCAGGAGCTTGGTGGTAAGGGTATGAGGATCATTTTGTTTTCAACTTGGCTATGGACCTTCTAAAAATCTGCCTGTGGGGTGATGATGGGTTTCTGGAACATCTACTAGTGTGCTGGGCATCTTACCGACATTTTCTCTTGACTCCTCCTACCCCTGTGAGGTGGTTATTTTTTTTTCCACTCCCTTTAAGAAGGGGAAGCTGAGGTTTAGCAGGGTTTAGTAACATGCCAGGTTGCAAGGAGACAGAGCAGGGATTTGAACCCACCAGAGCTAGATGCTATTGCACATACCAACCTGTATTCCCTCAGCAGTGCTATGTGTTAAACTAATTCAGCATAAAGTATTAGGACGTAGATCTATCACATTTTGGTTTTCTGGTAAGTAATGTCCCCAGAACAGTGCCCTGGCAAAGGGAAGGGAGCAGAAGGAAAGAGGTGGCTGAAAAGTAGGAAGGGCTTAGACACCAAATATGAATTTCACATGTAATGCAAATTTTAGCTCCAACAAAAATGGCATTGGACTTCTCACCTTCTTTGTGCAAAAATGAACTTCTTAAAATATCTGGTTTCATAACTTCATTTTGGAGCAATTAAGGGATGATGTTTCAAAATGCTGATAACTTGCATGTCAATGTTAAAGGATTTCTGTCTATATTGTGCCAAGACACTTGTAGCTCTCTCTCTCCTACATAACATCATGTGAAAGTGTGATTTGGCAGGTTCAGTGGAGCTGGTATTTGTCTTTAGCCAGCATCTTAAAAGCTATCCTTTGAACCAACTCACCTGATTCTCAGTTCAGCTTTTTGTTCCTGTTTAATTTACCATCATATTTTGTTCAGTTATTAAGCAGGAAAGTAAGCAGGCCTGGCCTGGGGCAAATATTTGAGGATAAGTTTGTCACAGGGTTCTAAATTTCCCATGACTTCTTGGTTAAACCACTGAGCCTTGGCAGCCAGGCTGAAAGCATCTTTTTAAAGTGCTTTAAGTAGTGCCTGCCACATGGTGAGTCCTCCTTTAGCTAGGATTATTATTACAATCATGCATATCCCTCAAGGTCCAATTTTAATGTTCTCTGTTCCATAACATCTTTCTTGATTATCTTAAGGAAAAATTTTCCCCTTTCTTGAGCCTTACATAGCAAAGACAACAGACTCCACTCTAGCACGTGAGTTATTTCCTTCCACCTTCTTTCTAAATCATGATTTGATGCCGAAAGTGTGCCTAGTATTTTCACATAAGATTTCTCATTTATGTTAAATAAAGTGAAAGAGCTGTTGCCCATCTCATTTTACAGATCAGAAAACTGACATCTGTAGCTAGCAAGAAAGAGGCTTTGTCAGGGTGACACAGCTCACAAATGGCAGTACTATCATCTCTTCCAAGCCTTCCGAGTCTACCACCCCATAGCAACTTTGCATCTTAACCATCTGTGAAACCTAGCTCTCAAACCTGTTCATTGTCACTCCAAGCACACTGGACGCTCAAATTTAAGTGTGCTGAATAGACCTACAGAGTTGAGCTCCTTACTCTCATGATATCATTTCCTCATAAATTCTTAATAACTCTAGTGATTCCAAGTCATGTAAATTCAGCATGCATCTTTATGTATGTTATAGGGTACATAATCGTTGCTGGCTTTCTTATAGAAAATACTATATTGATTTCTGTTAAGTTTTTTTTTTTAAATGTTGCCATCCTCCCTGCACTTTAATCTCTTTCTAGTTTCATGTGCTTATGGAAATAAGCTTGGGCTATTTGGCAGGCAAATTGACATGTCTATTTTATGTAGCTGGTAATATGGTTCCAGCCAAATCCTACCAGCTCCTCTATGGAAATAGATTTCTGGTTAATACAGACTAGCTTTAAGATCTAATCTTATTTTGAAAGGTTTTTTTGTTTTGTTTTTTACCTTCCCAACTGAATTTCCTTTAAGTAAGGATACACGGAGCCATATTTGTAAGTCTTTGGACAGGCATTTGAGTCAACAATGATACCTGAGCCCTGTTGACTTATTGTCCTAATGCAAGTCAACAGAGATTGCATTTCTAAAAATTAGTCATCACTCATTATCACCTCCTAAAACACGGGAGACTGGAGAAATGTCAATTTAAAATTTAGGCTAATAGAGAAGAACAGAGAAATACAAGAAAGAGACAAAAGCAAATAGAAGAAGAAAGGTAGGTCCAAACTTGAACAGGAACCAGGTATTGTCTTAGAGGAAACTGACCTAGAGATGACAAAAGTACGAGCCACCTAAACAGGATTCTTCAAGGTTTTGGGGAAGAATGAGAGTCTAGTTTCAGGAATGGAATTTTGAAGGACTTCAAAGTCATGAGGCTCCAAGTGCTTGTTACTTGCGGACAGGTTACAGATCCATATATAAGTATACAGTATGTGAACTCATGGGGTTTTTCATCCTTCCTTCCCCAAGGACATGTTTATTGAGTTCCTTTTAAATAGAGGGAAGGAGAGAGAGAGAGAGAGAAAGAGAGAGAGAGAGAGAGAGAGAGAGAGAGAGAGAGAGAGAGAGAGAGAGAGAGAGAGAGAGAACATCAACTGTTTGCTTCCTGAACAAGCCCCAACCAGGGATCAAACCCAAAACCTAGGTATGTGCCCTGACTGGGAATCTTACCTTTTTGGTGCATGGGATAATGCTCCAACCAACTGAGCCACAGGCCAGGGTGTGAACTCATTTGTAAAAAAACAAACACATGTGTGTATATACTTGAAAAAAAACTAAAGGTATGTTTACCAAAATGTTGATATTTTTTTTTCCTTTTGCTTGTCTGTAGTTCTCGGCTTTGCAGAACAAACATATATCACACCATTTTAAAAATGAAAGCCAAAACAAATTCACAAAGGGTAGAGTTTTAGGATGAACAATTTTGTTGAAACCTGACCAATTCTATTGCTTTAGACAAAACAGCATGTATAAATCCTTGGAGATTAGAGAATGTGTTGTGGACTTGGTACTTTCCTTTCTACTCAGTGTTCTTCCCTTCAATAGACAGAAGCAACTTTGTGAATTCCATTTGTCAGTGATTTCTGTGACTCACAATATTACTTTTTTTTAGGTAAAATTCCCCCCAACACTATCTTTTCCCCCTACACTATCTTTAATGTGATGAATGTGAAAGATCTATGAACAAAAAAGTGTATCTTCATGCAGTACTGGGAAAGACTGAGTACTACTTTGGACACTGGGATTTACATTTTCAAATCAGTGTTCTTACTGTTACAAATTGATTCAGCATCTAAAATTTTTGAAAAGTAACCTTTCTATTCTACTAACCAGACCTAATTAGCCAGCACTTTGCTTTGAGGAGTAATGTATTAGCTGCGAATATAAAAGATAATTGACAAGAATTTTCACAGTTTTCTCTTTTTGCATTTAGTCAATTTTCAAATGTAAAAGGCAAAGTTGCCCCACAAGATGCCGAAAAGGGGACTTTAACTCACAAAAAGTAGGCCCTCCCTCCACATTTTTAACAAGTCTTCTAGCAAATTCTCTTTTGGACAGGGACTCTGGGTGTAGAAAATCATCTTATCTGAACAGGCATATGTGTAGAGTTTCTAATAGAGACAAAGGCGAAAAGTAGATGTGGCATGGTACATGTCAGGACAGAAACTGGCTGGGCCTGACCATGGTTTGTTCAATGCCAAGTTGTGTTTCTTAGTCTCCCATTCTTCCCACTTCCCATCGTGGACACACCATATTCCTGGGCCAGTTAGAAGTTCCCATTGGTGACTGGACAGGTTCACTTGGCATCTGCCTCCATCCAGACAAAGCAATGCCCATGTGGGTGCTTCCTGATCCAGAGTGATAAATAGAATGCAAATATCTTCTAATACATGACCAGAGGGGATATGAGGGGTGGGGCCTCAGAGCTGTAACATTTTGCTTAGAGCTTCAGAGTTAAAGTTAAAGCACACTTCAAGGCTCTCCAACATAAGGTGAGTAAAGTTAATTACCTTCAGATTGTCAATAAAAAAATAAAGATGGTAACTAGTGGACATATGACTGCTAATAATGATGTGATTTCACAAAGCAAAGAACACAAGAAAGTTTCTCTTGTGCTCTACTGCTGACCAGTACTTTTCATGATCAGATTAATAAATTTATTTCCTGGAAATATTTATGTTTTACATGGTTTGGGAAGAAAAATGGTGTTTTTCGTTAATAAAGTACAATTTTTTCGTTTTTAAAATCTCTTTTGATATAATGTTAAGTGTTTTATTCTCAGAAATATTGAAAAGTAAACCCATGTCCTTGGTATTAAAGATTTGATCACGATCAGGGTCTGTGGGTGTTATTTAAAATGATGTCAGAGTTTCACAGTACTTTGGATAATTTAGTCAAACAACTGGTCACTTTAATGGAGAGAAATTTCAGTTGATCAATTACTTCAGATATAGTGAGCTGTGTGGAGTTCCAATTTTTAAAAGTTTGATTCTATACAATTCAATTCAACAAATGCCTATAGAATGCTCAAGAAATAAGAATATTTTAAAATATATTTTTATGGATTTCAGTGAGGGAGGGAGAGAGGGAGAGAGAGAGAGAGAGAGAGAGAGAGAGAGAGAGAGAGAGAGAGAGAGATATCAGTGATGAGCGAGAATCACTAATCAGCTGCCTCCCTCAACCTGGGCATATACCCTGACCGGGAATGGAACCATAACCTGCTGTTCCATAGGTTGACACTCAGTCACTGAGCCATGCTGACTGGGCAAGAAATAAGGAGAATTTTTATGAGGTGATCTGGAGGATAGTGTGAAGATGGTGAATGTATGATCTAGAGTAAGATGAGTAAAATGCGATAAAAATTAAGCATATTTATGAAAGTGAAAGCCAAACCAGTAGGAAAAATGTGCAGGTGTGTGTTTAGTTAAGAGCCTGCTTAGCTACTTTTCCTCTATAAATTTAAATCTAACTTTAAAAATTGTATCATTTCTAGTATCTTTGAATGAAATAGTGGAATAAAAATTATGAAAGTAAAAGAGAATCTAGGTACATGATGCAAATACTCATTTTAATTATTTTATTTAGGACGATAGTATGGAGACAAAATCCATTCTAGAAGAACTTCTTCTCAAAAGATCACAGCAAAAGAAGAAAATGTCACCAAATAATTACAAGGAGCGGCTTTTTGTTTTGACCAAAACAAACCTCTCCTATTATGAATACGACAAAATGGTGAGATCCTATTTATTTCATTGCTATTAGACTATTTATTTTTCTTAAGGCTCCACAAAGTACTTAATTATAATGAAACAATATCAGGTTTCTTAGCTTACACAGTTAAGATAAACTTTCACTCAATTATCACATTTGTCTTTTCTTAACTAAGGTGTAATTAATTCAAGAAAAAAGGATTTTAAAACTGGCTAACTTTTGGGGGTAAGAGGGAGAGCTCAACCAAGGGACTGGTATGCATGCATACAACCCTAACCAATGGACACAGACACCAGGGGTGAGGGCATGACTGGGGGGATAAGGATACATATGTAACACCTTAATCAATAAAGAAGAAAAGGAAGTCATAGAGAGACAGAGAAGCCTTTAAAGTAGGGGTGTCGAACTCAATCAGAGAAGGGGCCAAAATCTAAAATCCAGCCTAAATCGCGGGCCGAATGGTTTACTGAACAGTCATAAACTGTCATTGTGATGGAAACGCAGCGGAGTGCAGTGATGACAGCGCAGTGCGGGCCACATTGCAAGGCCTGGCGGGACGGATTTGGCCCGAGGGCCTTGTGTTTGACACATGTGCTTTAAAGCAACGAACCTTTTATTTGTTTTCTGTAAAACAAACACACACACACATACAAAAAAAAATGGCTAACTTTATAAAGACAAATTGCAAATCAGTGTTTATCAACTGAGGGTGATTTTGTCCCCCAGGGGACATTTAACAATGGTTGGGGACATTTTTGGTTGCCATAATTGGTGGGAATAGTGTGCTACTGACTTTCACTGGGTAAAGCCCAGGGATGCTGCTAAATATTTTATAATGCACTGGACAGCCTCCACCACAAAGAATTATCTGGCCTTAAATAGTGCTGAAAGTGAAAGATCCTATGTAACACAATGCTGAAAATCAGGCTATTTCTGTAAAGTAGAAAAACTGAAATACTGTAATAAAATTGAAACAAAATGAAGATGCTTTGTGGAGTTAAATATTTTTATTATTTTGTTTATTTATCTATATTTATATTTTATCCTATATTTATTTATCTTTATTGCTGGAAGTATTACAGAAGTCCCTCTTTTCCCCCATTAACCTCTTCCAGCACGCTCCTACCCCCCCTCCTCCAGGCCCTCACCACCCCATTGTCTGTGTCCACTGGTTATGCATATATGCATATGAGTTCATTGGTTGATCTCTTCCCAGCCACCCTCCCTGAGTAGATTAACCACATGGTAGGTGATTTGAAAAATGTTTCAAGATTATGAAACAAAATTATGAAGTGCTGCTTAAAGACTTGCTTGGGAGGCATATATGAGTTTGTGTGTACACTTGAAAATATATTCTGCTATCATTGGATTTTTGTTTATTACAGAAGAATTTGAATGAGTCTCACATGCTCACCCCATTTCCCAATCTTCCTTCCAAGCATAACCTTAAGTTTATGTCTTTCTTTGTGCACCATTGTATATCACACAAGATATCTTGTATATATTTTTTAATTCAGAAAAGAGGTAGCAGAAAAGGATCAATTGATATTAAGAACATCAGATGTGTGGAGAAAGTCAATCTGGAGGAGCAGACCCCTGTGGAGAGACAGTACCCATTTCAGGTAAGGGGAGAGGCAACATTCCATTGGATGGATGGCTCTTCTTTTAATATTTTCTATTATGAACTCAATATAGTGGGGATAAATAAAGATGTTGCAAAATGATTCACTGGACAATGACAAGACTTGGAACACTTCTAGATAGGAGTTGGGAGTGTGCCTACAGTACCCTTGGGAAGTGGCTTGAATTAAGTGAAGCCCTACTTTTATTACATCATGAATAGTTATCTTTCTGATGTAAAAGCAGATGGACTAACCTTCCATTGTCCAGAATACCTAGTGCTAGTATGAAAGAATTGCGGCCAAAAATGAGATAAAATAATCTGATTGCTGAACAATTTGTACTTCCTGCTTTAAAAAAGATCATTACTCATTTGGGAGAAACCCGGGGAGTGTGTGTTCATAGAAGATGCTTCAAATTTGTCTCACATGGATATGAAGTACTTAAAAGACACAGGTTTTGGAGCCCACAGGGATCCTAGCCACTGCTTATACTTGTGTAACCATGGACAACATACTGTTTCTCTCTGGTTTATTTTTCACTTGAAAAATGGGCATAATCATATTTTTTTCACAAATTTGAAATAGGATTAAAGTATTAAAGCATCTAGGAAAGATCTTCCAAACTAGTTGGTGTTTAACAAATCGTCTGTATTATTTCCTCCACAAAAGTGAACAAACTAGAGAAGGATCTGGGAGACATTGTAATCCTCAAACATTTAAACAAGTGTCTTAAGGAATAGAAAAATAGTGTGCTGGCCAAAACTGGTTTGGCTCAGTGGATAGAGCATCGGCCTGAGGACTGAAAGGTCTCAAGTTCGATTCCGGTCAAGGGCACGTATCTTGGCTGTGGGCACATTCCCAGTGGTGTGTGTGTGTGTGTGTGTGTGTGTGTGTGTGTGTGTGTGTGTGCAGGAGGCAGCTGATTGATGTCTCACTCTCTCATGGATGTTTCTAACTCTCTATCCCTCTCCCTTCTTCTCTGTAAAAAAACAATGAAATATATTTAAAAAAAGAAAAAAGAAAAATGACATGCTGAAGATTGTTAGATTGGGACATGACTCAGAGAAATAAGTTCCAGGGAGACATGTTTTTACTCACTATAAGCATAAACTATATAATGATGAGACTATATTAAAATTGGTGAGGATGGCATAGTAGAAATGGAGGACATTCTATCCCTGAAAGTATTTTTTAATATATTTTTTATTGATTTGAGAGAGGAAGGGAGAGGGGAAGAGATATAGAAACATCAATGATGCGAGGGAATCATTGATTGGCTGCCTCTTGCACGCCCCCTACTGGGGATAGAGTCCGCAACCCAGGAATGTGTCCTTGGCTGGAATTGAACCTGGGAACTTCCAGTCCGCAGGCTGACGCTCCATCCAAACCAGCTAGGGCCTGAAAGTATTTTTAAGAATACAGCAGTTAAACATTTTCCAACTGGCTGTAAAGGGATTCATGGATTGGGTAGGTGGGTAGACCAGAACACTAAAACACCTGTTATATCTAACATTTTATAATTTTTTAATTATCTGCTGTGGTTTTCTAAAGTGAAGAGGTGTCTGGAATAAAACACATTGAAAGGTGGAGGATAAAAATAATTAGATTTTTTTCTACCTAATTCCAGAGCTAATGGAATTATATAAGCAAACTCGAGGTCTCTTTTGAATAACAGAAAATTTACAGTTGCACCATAGTGAACTGTGATGCAATTCTAGCTTAATGCTCTCAATCTTTTCCTTTCCAGATTGTCTATAAAGATGGGCTTCTCTATGTCTATGCATCAAATGAAGAGAGCCGAAGTCAATGGTTGAAAGCATTACAAAATGGTAATTTTAAAGTCATCAAAGGGAGTCATCAATTGAGTTCTTTTGAGGGTTGGTGGAAGAAACACATGACAGTAAAAGGACTCAATGCCAAGACAGAATCTACTGATTTTCCTACCAGCCTCAGAGAACATGCCGTGCTGGTCCTCATTTTGCATTCTCATTGTCACAGAGAGGAAGCTTGGGTATCAGATACCCTCTTGCCCCTTCCCTGCCCTGCACAGTGCTGGCTATTGTCCTTCCCAGCAGTTTGGAGGAAGCCTGGCCACCTGCTCCCCACCCACTTTGCTTGCCTTTCCAGGGCAAAGTCTAGTCTAGGTCCTTTTGGGGTTGCGTCAGGTCTTATAGTTACTGTACTTTGGATGTTTATATAAAGTTATAGCTAACACTTACTAAGCACTTATCATTTGCCAGCAACTGTATCAAGTACTTGAAAAACATTTTTCTTAGGTAAACCTCTTGACAACTCTGTGAAAATGGGTCATACTAGTTTCCATTTTTTCAGCTAAGTGAAGTTAAAGAGACATGGCCAATGTCACATACCTAGCAATGGGAAACTCATAATTCAATTACCCAAATCCAACTTTTTAACCAATACAGTATATATGTTAGGCTGCTGGAAAATCTCAAGGTCAGAAACTAGTGTTTTGAAACTTAACTCCTTTTGTTTTCTGTGGTTTCTATAATTTATTTTTAAGTCTCATTAGCACTTATTGATGTTTCTTTTAAAAAATATATTTTTATTGATTTCAGAGAGAAAGGGAGAGGGAGAGACAAAAACATCCATGATAAGAGAGAACCATGGATCAGGTGCCTCCTGCATGTCCCCTACTGGGGATCAAGCCTGCAACCTCGGGCATGTGCCCTAACAGGGAATCGAACCTGTGACCTCCTGGTTCATAGGTCGATGCTCAACCACTGAGCCATGCCCACTGGGCAGCGACATTTCTTTTAATGCCAGCCTTTTCAGGTAAGCTGAGCTGAGTTAAACTAAGTGAATACTACTACTAAAGCCCCCTGTTTATTGAACACCTACTCTGAGCCAAACACTGTGCTGGATGCTTAACAAACAGTTTCTCAATAACCCAGCTAAGTGGTTATTACTCTCTCCACACACTTCCTTCAGTCAGGGTTGTAAAGGCGGAGCAGAATTCCCTTGGGATCAAAATAAGTCCTTAAGATGAATAAAAAATCAAGATGGAAAGAGTTGAAGCCACATGTAGAACCAACCCTCCCCATCTAGAGTTTCTTCTTGAACTATTCTCTATTAAGACCTTGTAGATTTCTCTGCTGTTTCGAGAGGCACTAGCTTGCTGTAGACACCGTATTGCACTCTTACAATGTCATTTCTTTGGATTTCCTTGTCCTATTTCTATGGGTTTTAAAATATGTACATATTCCTAGAAAAGTAACCCCATAAACCATTAATTTCTTAGTGTAAACAGTTCAAAGTCATGAACAATAAAATGAAAAACTTCTATATCAAGGGAAACTAGATAACTTAAATGCCATGATTCTGGATTGGATCCTCGACCAGAAGAAAATGAATGATTATAAAGGATATTATTGGGACAATGAGAAAAAAATGAACATGAAATATATATTAAGTAATAGTATTGTATATGTGTTAAACTTACTGAATTTGGTTATTTCATTGTGGTCATATAAAGGCATGTCCTTGTTAACAGAAGTTACATACTGAAGTATTTGTGAGTGACATTACTAAAGTCACAGTATCTGTACTTGCTCTCAGATGGTCAAGCAAATATAACAATGATTTAAAGTCTACAAATAATGTGCTGGAGGGTGGAGACAGCAGGGGAGAGGTCAATGGAGAAAAGGGAGACTTATGTAATACTTTTAACAATATAAAGAATTAAAAAATAAAAGAATAAAATCTAAATAGATATAGAGCTATAGGTATCAATGTATATATATGTATGTATGTATGTATATGTGTGTGTATATATATTGAGAGAGAGAGAGAGAGAGAGAAAGCAAATGTGGCAAATGGTTAAAAATTGAATCTGGGTAGAGTATATGGACATTCATTATACTATTCTTGCTACTTTTCTGTATGTTTGCAATGTTTCAAAATAAAAAGTGGGTGGAATGTATATGCTTATTACAACCTTTCTTTCTTTTTCCTAATATCTAATCCTACCCGCCAGCTTCTTTCTGCTACAAGAGCACACCATGCATATGCTATAACACGCTTACTTCCTTTATGGATGTATATCTAAAATCCTACACAAGCTGATCTTGTATCAATATGCATTTTCTACTAGTTATTTTTAAAGACTGATATAGTTATTGTGTTGTTCTTACCATATACATGGTTAGATTTTTTTTTGTGTGTGGGGGGGGGGTGCTTTTTAACTTCTAAGTGAAAGACATATCTTTTGGGAGCCATTTGCTCCTACCCTGGTTGCTGGCAAAAATGATGTTTTCATTGTTCTTTGATAACAGTACTAACTGAATGTGTTTTCTTCCTGCCTGCACCCCAGAGATAAGGGGTAACCCCCACCTGCTGATCAAGTACCACAGTGGGTTCTTTGTGGACGGGAAGTTCCTGTGCTGCCAACAGAGCTGCAAAGCGGCCCCGGGATGTACTCTCTGGGAAGCATGTAAGGTGACCCCTCTATTGGGTGGGTCCTGGGTAGATGGTGCCCCATTAGGCAAATCTGCCACAAGCCAAAACAGCTCGCCAGTTCAGGAAAACAATGTGTGCCAGATGGGTTGGCATCATGAAATTTCAGCCTCACAGATGCTATCTGAATATGAAGTCTCATTCTAGGGTCAGTTGAGTAATGTTTATTAAAATAATAATAATATGAACATCTGTCATTCTTTTACTCGATGAGGAATAGATTTCAAATTTGAATCCTAATTCAAGCAAGGAGCTGTTTATTCCCTCCTATAATTCTTTTTTTAAAGATAAACTCCAAAGAGATATTATAGAACATGGTGACCATCTCTCCATGGTTCATAAATTAAACCATAAACTGAAAAAAAAACATTACTTTCTAAAATATGGCAACGGATACAATTTAAGTAAAACTATTAATCACCATATATAACAAAATGATGGGTGGCCAAGTTTTAATATTGGGTCGGCAGCTAAGTAATTGCGGATTTTTTAAAGAAAATCAAAGACAATTTTTTCATGGAACTAAATAACTTTATTCTGTAATGTATTGCCCATTTTAATCAATGACCTTTTGCCATCTTTCAGGCAGCATCATAATCCCACGTTCAAAAAACTTCTGGTTTTTATTAGGAAAAAACTGAATCAGGTACGATTTGACATCATCATCATTATTGAAATTTTTACCATTCAAGGAGTTTTGTAAAGATCGAAACAAAAAGTAATCAGATGGTGCAAGGTCAGGACTATATGGTGGATGTGGCAAAACATCCCAACCAAGCTCCATTAATTTTTGCCGAGTGACCAAAGATGTGTGTGGCCTTGCATTGTCATGATGGAATACAACACCTTTTCGATTTGTCAATTCGGGCCGCTTTTCTTCAACTGCATTGTTTAATTTCGTTAGTTGTTCAATGTAGACATCAGAATTGATCGTTCGGTTGGGTGGTAAGAGTTCAAAGTAGACAATTCCTTTGTAATCCCACCAAACTGATAACAAAACCTTCTTTTGATGAATATCAGCTTTTGATGTTGTTTGAGTTGGTTCACCTGGCCTGCTCCACGATCTTTTCCGCTTGATATTGTTGTAAACAACCCATTTTTCATCGCCAGTTATCAGTTGTTTTAAAAATGGATCATTTTCATTACGTTTCTTTAGCAAATCGCAGCTGCTAATGCGTTGCGTTAACTGTGATTCTTTCAGTTCGTGAGGAACCCATGTATCGAGTTTTTGAACATAGCCAAGTTGTTTTAAGTGATTTTCAATGCATGTATGTGATACATGAAGCTTCTCTGCAATCTCACGTGTTGTACTGTGACAGTCCGAATTGATTATTGCTTTGATTAGGGCGTCATCAACTTCAACTGGACGACCAGAGCGTTTTTCATCTTTGAGTGAAAAATCACCAGAACGAAATTTGGCAAACCAATTTTGACACTGCCGTTCTTTTAAGGCTTCGTCACCATAAACAGCACATAACTTTTTATGAGCTTGTGATGCGTTTTTCCCTTTGCGGAAATAAAAAAGCAAAATATGACGAAAATGTTCCTTTTGATTTTCCATTTTTCAACGAACGCCAAACAAAAACTACAAAACAGATCAAAAAACTTTTTTTACTGATTAACAGCTGAATAGCCAACTATCAAATAACAAAATGTGTTTTACATTTGTACTACGTCTGCAAACCTAAAAATTCAACTGAAGCCATATATGTGTGAAACCCGCAATTACTTAGTTGCCGACCCAATATATATTTTTAAAGTGTTTGCCATCCTCTACATGTTTGTTGACTTCTTAATAACATCAGAAGAGGTATTAAAGGGTTCTATTCCTAGAGAATCTACCTGAGACTTTATGTTGGGACAGAAAAGGAAGCACACGGAGTGGTTTTGAAGGGATAATGGAGGGAGAGAATTATGTTATTTTCTTCTTGTGCCTTTGAGTCCCATTCCTTCACCAGGATACTTAGATGAGACAGTGTTATATATTTTAGTTTACCATTGTTTCATGGCATGAAGTTGTCAATAAATAAAAATAGTTTTAGCAGCCTGAATAAAATTTGCTTGGATTACAATGACTTTAAAGAATTGAATGAGATCAACTGTGTGATAAAACTTCATAAATTCTAACACACAGAGACATATGGAATGTTATCCACATTCACTTCATAACAGTATTGACACCTGACAATTATGTTAATGTTACTGCTGGTCATTTTACAACAAAATCAATGAATAAATATGCATTGTGTTTTCCATTTCAAGTAGACTGCACAATGAATATTTATTCATCTTAATGGGATCACATTGCCCTTTATACTCTTGAATTGTGGTGATTTAATTAACTATTCAGAATTTACTGTATGTGGATTTTCCCTCCACTATGAGGGACTAAAGAATAATGTCTCCTTACAGCATTAATCATTTCCCCCAATTATTCTGTCCATGGTCTGATATCATTACCCAGCAGGATGAATTCCAATTCTGACCTTGCCCTAACTCCCAGGGGAAGATTGGGAGAAAGCCAAGAGAAAGCATTGCCTTTGGATTATCTTCCTAGGCTCCAGCTGGATGCCACCTGCCATGTGTTCTAGGTGCCACAGGCTCTTTCCCAGCCTCTGAAGAAACTACAGAATATAGAAGTATTCTGTCTCACAAGCAGCTGTAATATTGTCTATATGCCCAAGAATAATTTACGCTCTGGAATCCTTTGCTGAATTATAGGAAAGCCCCATGGGCACAGAAAGGAAGTGATGAGTGTCTTTGCTTCCTTCTGTCTCCAAAATGCCCTGGATCACCCTCTTTCCAGGGTACATGTCCTAGGAAAAAGTTGACTATACACCCCAGTTTGTTTGGGACAGTCTCATTCTGCAGCTGGTTATCTGGTATAATTATATCAAAAGCCAAAAGTCAGGAGTGTTCCAGTATGTCAATAAGCCACATGGCCACCCCATTGATAAGGCATATAATGGCTTCACACTCACCGCCTGGATATCTACCTATATGTGTAGGTAGAAAGATAAACCAACAATTATCTTAAGAATAGAAAAATTAATAAAACAGGTTTGTTCATTTGTAAATCATCTATTTCTAAGCATCTTGTGTGAGTCAATTAAAGATGAATCAGACGTGAATTCTGAATCCTAGGGTCATGGGTCCTTCCTAAGCAATTAGATATATAGTACTCAAATACAAGGTGGAAATTTAGTATAAATAAATAGTTTTTAGGATTTAGAGGAACTTGACTCTTTTATCTATTTTGGGAGGGTACTGAAATGGTGGATGAGTGGTGTTTTATTTGGGTGTTATACAGGAAAACAACAATAACTCAAGATTTTGTGTCGAAATTTATTTAATCTCCAGTATTTCTTACATAAGCTATTCTTTTGAATCATAACATTAGATGTTTTGCTTTGTTTTATTTAAAGTTACTTCTAATATTACTTGGTTCTATTTTTTAGATGCTGATCTGCACATTGCAACAAAGGAAGAGAAACTAAGAGTTCCCATCTTCCCAGACAGAATGGTAAGTCACCATTTAATTTTTCCCATGATCAGCGTATAGTAAATAAATCAAGAGTTGCCAGATTCAAGGCTAGAAAATATGGGCTTCTTTCAAACTGCCAACAAAGAGAGAGAAACTGAGCCATCATCAATAGCAATGGCAATATCAAATAATAAATTCAAATACAGAACCATTTACCATTTTTTATTTTTATATTTAATAACAGGGCCTTTTTCTAACCTGTAAGCACATAAATAGTCTCTAAAATGGTGCATATGGGAGATAGCATTACATACAACAGGCAGCTGTTACTAGCTATCATTCCTGAACTACCACCACTAGCATGGCCAAGACTGCGTCATGCAATTCTGGTAAAGGAATGGGACCACCTAGAGCACTAGCAGAAAACAACATAATTTTTTCTCTCCATTTTCCTTTCAAATCCCCTTGGAGGGTTTTCTTCTAGTCACTCTCAGGTAACATAAATTCTCCAAATTACCAGTAGTCATGAAAACAGCCTCTAATTGTCCCATTCAATGCGATAGTCACACAACTTTGAATATCTTTCCAAGTTAAAACTTCTCCTTCACCTAGCTCAAGTCTGCATCAGGGAACAGCCTGCTTTAGGGAAAGGCTCATGGAGGGGCTGAAATTTCTGACCTTTTCAGGGTTGGGGCCCTGGAAGAGCAGGTCTCCTAAAAAAGAGACAGTCATATATGATTGGTGCCATCATGCTTTGGTAGTGGTGGCTTTTCCAATGCTGATTCTTTATCTTATGGGAGACTTATGGATTTCCCACTGAAAATATGTATTTTTATGACAGAGGAAATGTTTTGACCCTTAACTCTTGGGATTTTAGCCCCCAACTTTTCTGCTGGGTCAATTCACCAATTTTTAGCAGAGATTTCAAGATGGCTTCCAGTTAGCCCTCTCCCAGGGGTGAAGTTGGCCTCCAGAAAAACAAACAAAACCTTGGATGCTTTACTTAGTGAAACTGTATGCAGCTTGCTCTCACAATACAGGTTGTTGCTCTCTTTTGTGCTCTGCTTTCTTGAGTTCCTAACCATAGTCTCCTGCTTTTAGTTTTCCCAGGCGGGCATCAGCCTTCTCAAGTGCCAAGAGAGACATAAAATGGCCTCCCAGTGATTGTCTGGAAGCTCATATGAAATTAAGGGTGCATCTCCAGCCACCCATCAGCTCTATGTTGTCTTGGATACTTCTTTTCAGTCTCACACATTCACACACACTACTTCTATTTTTCTAAGTCACATGTGTCAAACACAAGGCCCGCGGGCCAAATCCGTCCCGCCAGGCCTTGCAATGTGGCCTGCACCGCGCTGTCATCACTGCACTCCGCTGCGTTTCCATCACAATGACAGTTTATGACTGTTCAGTAAACCATTCGGCCCGCGATTTAGGCTGGATTTTAGATTTTGGCCCCTTCTCTGATTGAGTTCGACACCCCTATTCTAAGTAAAAACAATATAATTATTTTGTGAACCAACATGGACAAAAATTGAATTAGGTCCCCCAAATTTCATGTTCACCCAGAATTTCAGAGTGTAATCTAGACAGGCTATTTGCAGATGTCATTATTTAAGGACCAAGCTGAGATCATACTGGATTAGGATGGTCCATAAATTCAAGGGCTGTTATCCTTCCAAGGTGAGAAGACATAGAGATACACAGAGAAGGCAGCCATTTAAAGACCTAGGAAGATATTGCAGTCACGCTGTCACAAAGCAAAGAATGTCTAGAACCACCAGAAGCTGAAAGAGGCGAGCAAAGATTCTCTCCTAGAGCTTTTCAAGGGAACATGGTCATGCTGAAGCCTTGATTTTGAACTTCTAACCTCCAGAATTGTGACAGACTGTTGCTTTAACCCACCAAATATGCACTAAGTTGTTAGGGCAGTCCTCAGGAAACTAATACAATTATTAAGGTTTAGGTGTGTGTTTTGTTATCAGTGATATTGCTGTTTTGTCTTGGATGTATGCTCCAGTCCTGAAGCTTAACATTACGGCCTAATGAAACACTAAGAGCAATGTCCAGACTAAGCAAGTTTATAGAGACAGGAGGTCAATTAGTGGTTGCCTGAGGACAGGGTGGGAATGGGGATTGCCTACAAATGGACACTAGGGTGACAGTAATGTGCTCAGACTGGATTGTAGGGATAGTTGCCCAACTGAATAAACTTACTAAAAGTCCTGAATTCTACACGTATAAAAAGTGAATTTTATTATATATAAATTATATTCCAATAAAGTTTGTTTTAAACACAACTAAGAGCAGAGTCTAATTTAGGAGCCAGACATCATTGCATCTAGTGTAGGGCAAGGAATTCTTTGGGAAACGTGTTGAAAATTATCAGTCACGCAAATCAGTGACCAAAGTCTGTTTTGATTATAAGCTGCCCTAGAGATCAGGGATCAGAGAGAGTATTGTGAAAAGTATGTTTTCCTTTGTTTCATTGTTATCAGAGTATTCAGTAGAGGACTTACTGAGATGACAAAAATTAAAATTTGCTTTCTAGCTATTCTGTTCCCTATTCTGTTTAGGGAACTTTCCACTGCATTTGTCTTTGAAAATAACCACCCCAAGCTCATAAATTGCAGTGTACTGAATAACTAAAATTTCCAGGATGCTACACCCTGGAAAAAAGTAAAATAAAGTGTGGAAAAATAAAAATTCAGTGGATATATGTAAAATGGAAATTTCTAAATGAGGTATAACATGCACTTTAAAAAGTATACAAGACCTAAATACGTTCAGTTTGATAAAGTTTTATAAACCGAACACATCTTTATAACCCACATTCACATTAAGAAACAGAACATCACAGAACCCTAGGGGTACGTACCCTCGTGCTTCCTTTCAGTTACTACATCCCACCAACAGTAATCAATAGCCTGATTTATGGCATTATGGATTATTTGCCTGCTTTTAACCTTTATGTAAGTGGAATCATATAGTTATTTATTGTCTGTCTTCTTTTGTTCAATTTATAAGATTTTCTCATTTTTTATTATGTGGTTATAATTTATTCTCATTGCCATATATAATTCCAGTGTGTAAATATGCCACTGTATTAGTTTCTTTTTGTTGTTGTTATTAATCCTCACCTGACGATATTTTTCCCATTGCTTTTTGGGGAGAGAGAGAGAGAGAGAGAGAGAGAGAGAGAGAGAGAGAGAGAGAGAGAGAGAGAGAGAGAGAGAGAGAGAGATATGGGGTTAAGAGAGACACATAGATCGGTTGTCTTTCAAGTGAGACCCATCCTGGGGGTGGGGGGTTGGCGAGCAATCCTGCAGCCCAGATATGTGCCCTTGACTGGGAATCAAACCTGCAACATTTTGTTGTATGCGCCAACATTCTAACCACTGAGAAAACTGGCCAGAACTCACTGTATTAGTTTCTTACTGCTGTTATAACAAATCACCACAAATTTAGTGACTTTAAGCAACACAAAATTATTCTTTTGTAGTTCTGAATATCAGAAATCTAAAATGGGTCCACATAGCTGTGTTCCTTCTGGAGATTTTAGGGGGAAATCTATTCCAGCTTCTAGAGACTACCTGTGTTTCTTGGTTCCTGAACCGTTCTTCCATCTTCAACGCCAGGAGGGTAGCATCTTCTCTTTCCTTTCTGATCTCAGCTTCCATACACATATTTTCTCTTAATCTCTGACTTTCTTGACTTTCTCTTATAAGGGCCCTTTTGATAATCAAATTGGATCTACCCCAATAACCCAGGATAATCTCTCCACTACAAGATCCCTAAATCAATCACATTTACAAAGTCCCTCTTATCATGTAAGGTAACATATTCACAGGTTCCAGGGACCAGGACATGAACATCTTTGGGAGAACATTATTTAGCCCACTATAACCACAATATCTTTAATATTTTATCCTGATAAAATTTAGGTAATTTCCAGTTTTATTTAACTTAAATAATTCTACTATAAGCATTCTTTTATATGTATTTTGATTTCCTTGTTGGGTATGTATATAGACTTTCTAGATCATAGGGCATGTGCATGCCCAGCTTTAGTAGATTTTGTAAACAGCTTTTCAATATGGTTCTACCACTTCAAACTACAACCAGCAAAGTTGACAGTTTCTGTTATATTACTACCTTCATTCCTCTTTTTGCTTTCATTCTATTTCTTTGTCTTTTGTTTTCTCTTTTCCCCTTTGCTCCCTTCTTTTCTCTCTCCCTCCTTCCTGCCTTCCTTCACTCTTAACTTCCTTCCTTTTTAATTTAAAACCTGATATACCTTGGTTGTTAGTTCCTGATACATGAATCTGTGAGTGTGTTTCACTGTGATCTATTAATATATATTATCCTCCAAAGCTGAAGATTCCTCGAGCAGTTCCTATTTTCAAAATGGATGAACCATCTTCAAGTACCGTTCTAGTCCAGTATGACAGTGACTCAAAGAAAAACTATGAATCACAGCCAAACGTCAATATGCCGTATGTTCCAAGGGAAGATTGCCCTGACTGGTGGCAAGTAAGAAAACTGAAAAGGTAAACCTCAGCTCTTAGTCTGGTTGCCCATCAGGTAGAACAAACATTACACCACTGCCTTGGACCTCAGTCTCAAAGGACAACACAAGCTTTAGCTGAGATAGGCTTGTCCTGTTACAAAACGTTCACTGTTTGAGCCAGAAGCCCCACTGGGACTGAGCAGCACAATATTTCCATTTAGTCTATCCAATCTAATGATCTAAGTAATACTTGAGAATTTTATTCCATATTCTTTCTTTCCCCTTCCCTCCTAATAACCCCACACTCCAGAACTCAGAATATTTAAATTATGTCCTTTATATGAAGAGAGTTTAGACTGGGCTGACTTATAAAGTGCTTGGGCATCACTGGCCAAATGACAAGTAGAATTTCAAGCTTGCCTCTTGAGGATGTGATTAGTCTCCTCATGTTGTTGTGTGTGTGTGTTTTTTTTTTAAATAAATCTTTATTGTTCAGATTATTATAGTTGTTCCTCTATTCCCCCCCTCCCCACATAGATCCCCTCCACCCGGTTCCCACCCCATCCCTTGCCCTTACCACCCCCCATTGTCCTCATCCATAGGTGTAATATTTTTGTCCAATCTCTTTCCACACCCCCACACCCTCTTCCCGATGAGAATTGTCAGTCCATTCCCTTTCTATGCCCATGATTCTATTATATTCACTAGTTTATTCTGTTCTTCAGATTTTTTATTCACTTTATTTTTTTAGATTCACTTGTTGACAAATATGTATTTGTTGTCACTTTGTTGTTCATAATTTTTATCTTTACCTTTTTCTTCCTCTTCTTAGAGAATACCCTTCAGCATTTCATATAATACTGATTTGGTGGTGATGGACTCCTTTAGCTTTTTCTTGTCTGTGAAGCTCTTTATCTGACCTTCAATTCTGAATGATAACTTTGCTGGGTAGAATAATCTTGGTTGTAGGTTCTTGCTATTCATCACTTTGTATATTTCTTGCAGCTCCCTTTTGGCCTGCATATTTTCTGTCGAGAAATCAGCTGACAGTGATATGCGTACTCCCTTGTAGGTAACTGTTTTTCTCTTACTGCTTTTAAGATTCTTTCTTTGACTTTTGTCCTTGCATTTTAATTATGATGTGTCTTGTTATGGTCCTCTTTAGGTTCCTCTTCTTTGGGGTTCTCTGTGCTTCCTGGACTTGTAAGTCTATTTCTTTCACCAGGTATGGGAAGTTTTCTGTCATTATTTCTTCAAAAAGGTTTTCAATATCTTGCTCTCTCTCTTCTTCTGGAACCCTCATAATTCGGATGCTGGTACGCTTGAAGTTGTCCCAGAGGCTCCTTACACTATCTTCATACTTTTGGATTCCTTTTGCTTTTTGCTTTTCTGGTTGCGTGTTTCTTGCTTCTTTGTATTTCAAATCTTTGACTTAATTCTTGGGATCCTCTAGTCTGCTGTTGGATCTCTGTATATTATTCTCTATTTCAGTCAGTGTATGTTTAATTTGATTGGTCCTTTTTTTTTATATCTTTGAAGGTCTGACTAAATTTCTCAGAGGTTTCTAGAAGATTCTTGAGTAACCTTATAACTGTGGTTTTGAGCTCTATATCCAGTATTTTGCTTTCATCTATTTCTTTCATTTGAGACTTGTTTCTTTGTCTCTGCATTTTGGCTGCTTCCCTGTGCTTGTTTCTATGTACTGGGTAGCTGCTAAGTCTCCATGTGTTAATAGAGTGGCTTTGTGTGGTTGGTATCCCATAGGGCCCAGTGGCTCAGCGTCCCCAGTCACCACGGTGGATGTTCTTGGTGCACCCCTCAGTGGGCTGTACGCACAGTCTTGTTGTAGTTAACTCTTGATTGCTGTTGGTATCACTGGGGGGAATTGACCTCCAGGCCAATTGTCTGAGATGACCAGCTGTGTCTACACTGGAAGATCTGTTTCGCAGAATCCACCCTTATGGGGCAGGACTTGCTTCAGTAGGGCTTTAGTGCTCACTGAGTCTGCCCCCTGACATCTCTTATGGATGTGAAGAATTGTAATCTGATATGGTCTCACTTTGACCACTGGGTACACTGGCTCTTGGATCTCCAAGATCTCCAAGAAGATGCAAGGTCAGCCACTGTCTGAAGCTGCCCAGGAGGAGCTACAGAGACATCTGAAGATTCCTCCTCTTTTTATGGGGTTTGGAAGTGCCCATATGAGGCCCAGCTGTAAAGCAAGGCCACTGCTGCTGCTGCCAGGTAGTGGACCTTCTTCTGGAATCTCTGGGGCTCAGACCCAGCTGCAGTTTGTTTTAGGTAAAAAAAACAGGCAATTCATATGCAAATGATCGAGGGGAGGTGGTCTGTGGGAATCACCAGGGCGGAGCAAATAACAATGGCTGCCCTGAACCAGAGAAGTCCCTGGTTCTCCAAGTCCCATGCCCTTGTGCAGGAACAATGATACCTGCAAGCACCTCTAAGAGTAATCCGCCTTTGTGTTCCCTTCCAATGCCAGACATTCCAGTTTCTCCTCTAATGTTCCTGGGTCCCTCAGAGTTTCATCAGGAACTGGAGTTCAAAGCAGTCAGGAGTTTGTATCTTCTTCCTGATTTAAAAAGCATCACATCCAGGTGCAGCACTTTTGGTGCCTCTCTAGTTGTGGAACTTCCTCTCAGCCAGCTTTCCTGTGGTTCTGGGTGATAGTTGTCCTGCCGTTTAGTTGTGGTTTTGATGTGGTTGTGAGAGGTAGCAAGTATAGGTGATTATCGTACCTATGCCACCATCTTGATTTCTCTCAGTCTTGTCATGTTTTTAAAGAGAGGCTACCTAAAGCCAAAATTGAAACTACCTTGAAGACAGTACCTAAACTGTATATATCACTGGGGTTTAGTACCAAGTCAGCCCCACACTTGATGCTCGCTAAATATGAAATTGAATTGTAAGATGACAATAGAGAAAGGGTCAACTGACTACCCTTCCTTATGTGCTTCCTTATATTTCTTCCCCATCATGCTATTCACTGTCTGGCATCTTGTCACCCAGTTATTAGCATCCCTCCAGGGTACTGATGTTTGTATTTCTCCACAAAGCATGCAGAGAATCTCTCTGACTCACTGTGTATCTCTTTTGTGTTGTCCTTTGTCCTTTTATTGTTTTATTCTTTCCATCTTCACCATTTTTACCTAAAGAAAAAGCCTCAGTGTACCAATGTGCAGCCATAGGGGCTCTATGCAACTTGAAAGGACATAAATGTGTTCTTGCTATTTTCTTCAGTATAACAAGTCATGGTATCTTTCTTCCAAAATGGAGATAGAATCCAAGTGTATTCATCCATAGCTGGTGTCTGAGGACAGAAGTTACATTTATTTGCCTAAAGCCTAGTGTTCTTGGAAGGAGACAATAAGCCCAGATTCAAGGAGGGTGAATGTCTTATCAACTTTGTGCCAGGTCCCTCCCTGCCAGAGACTCAAGTGATTCATCGAGGGAGGTGTGCAGTGAAACGGACTGACCAATATTCAAATAAGTAGTCAGCACTATTGATTCACATGGGGTTACTGCACAGCTACCAACTCAAAGATTGCCAGATCCTAGCTTTGTTTAAAATGTTGGCATTTTGTTCATCATAAATGTTTGCCTTAATTTTTATTTTAAAATATTTTGTGAAAACACTGTTTATCTTGGTTACTGGGTTTTTTGACACACTCTTAGCTTTTGCACCCAAGATATGGTCCCAACTATAGGTTTTTCCCTAGAACTTCAGGAAACTAGCTATCTGATCAAAGGATTAATTAATTTTCTTAGCATGAACAGCATTGCATCCCCTATGGATGAATTATAATAATGACTAAATGCTCTTCATGGAGCTTGAATTGTAAAAATACAGTCATGATTCTCAGTTATTATAAGTACATCTAACTTTTCTGTCATTCATACTGTTTTAGCCTGAGCTGCTTTTTACTCTTTGTTTTTCTGAGTAGTAAAATAATCCATGCTCTAATTAAAGCATTTAAACATTGTAGACTCTTCAATGTATAGTCCCCTATATATATATATAGCAACATGCATCAAAGCATATATATATATATGATTAAAAATCAGGTTCTTACTATATATAATTAAAAAATCAGGTTCTTACCATGAAGTTTTCTTTGCCACTTGCTCTATTTACCTAACATTTTAGACATTTTTCCCATTTGCCTACGTGAAGATATATTTAATTTTTAATTTAAAAAAATGTAATTATGGTACAACATAACAAATTTTACCATTTTAGTCATTATTAAGTGTATAGTACATTAGTGTTGCTATGCAACCTACCTCACTATTTTGAATGTCTATATAGCAATCCATTATATGGACAAACTTATTAATTAAAAAAATTCAGTTGAAAATTTTAACTATATTTTTAGCTTTTTAAATATGATTCTCTTCTGAAGAGATGAAGTGAAAAAGCTATGCTAGTGAGCAAGGATGTTTGGGAAGGCGGAGAGGGAGGCACTCCTGGAAATAGAGCCAGAGGGACATTTCCTTGTTAAGAAAACTTGTCAGTTATGAAGTGTGATTTTTGAATAAGAGCCTGGGATATGAAGGCAAACAGGAAATAGCTATTACATTCCAAGTAAAACAGACTTTGAACTTAGAGAAGTCCTCATGTTCTGTTTAACACCGAAAATGAAAGAGAAAAGGATGGATGACAGGATGATAAAAATCTTGCTGATCCATCTGTGTCCACATGGAGTTAAAAGTTTAGTATTTTCAAGACTTTTAATTCCAATCACAACAGAAAAGAAAAAAAATTAACCTATTTTAAACATGGATGTAATGCAATGCTTGCATATATCTCTAAGAAAAGCAGGACAAAACCGGTAAAGATGATTTATTAATCCAAATGTCCTATTGTTTGGGGCCAATATGAGCTATTATGAACAATTTGCTTTTGTCTATGAGTACTGTCAAACTACTGCTTTTTATTGGAGACCCTGCAAGGACAGAAATGTAAAAATGACTCATTAGCTTAAATTTCCAAACTAAGTGAAACACATGGGTTGCAATGTTTAATAAAGTTAAAGCATACCTAACAAAATTACTTTTGTCATTTAACACTTAGAAATAAATATAAATTTATGAAATGTACCTCCTTTTTTATAGCAGTGAAGATTTTGCATTCAGCAACCAAAGAGAAAAAAACGTGAATCACGGAACCTCAAAAATTTCATGGTATGTCAAATTTACACACTGGGGATTTGTTTTTATCTGCAAGAAAACTAACCAAATTTGAAGTAATTTTGCAACTAGACTTTACATTTAAAGTAAACCCCCCAAATCTATGTAGTTTGCTTCTCTGAGCCCTTAAATTAGTCTGACTTGATAACTTGTGGGTTACCATTACCCTCATTCTGATTTTTCACTTGCGTCATTGGTGATGCACACTGATGTTAACATGAACACTAATATGCCTGGCTCAGGCATCTCTAGCAGGAAGGAAAATAACCTAGAGTTGAATACTAAGAATAGCTCTATACACAACCTGAGATGTTTTTTAACTTTATACTACAGCTGTCCCTGAAGGTATCTTCATCTATTTCATGAGCCCACTTTTCTGAAAGGCTCGGTGAAATCCACCTTCCTGGAGAGTTCTTGTATCAAACAGCCATTTTCTCATTAAACTGAGCATGAGCTCAGTTTCTGAGTCACTCTCTCTTCACCTTGCTACCTTCCCAAGTGCACAAAGGGAAACCTAATAGTCTACATTTCGTTTGCATGGATGAAAGCAGGGTGGGATTTGATATTGTACTGCTAGATACTCGGATCATTTCTTGGTGCTTCTTAAAATTCATTTTAATTCCTCTCTTCTTAAGGGGATTCACTGAGTCAAGTTCATCTGAAGAAGAGGAAAACCTGGATGACTATGAGTAAGTTTGGAAATTTCTCTGTGTACCTCTACGACTAGACGGAGATGTTTCTATTGTATTGCAGAGATCACCTAGAAGGAGGTCAAAGGTTCTTAAATGCCAGCCCACTTAAAATTAAAGATATACAGGCCCTATCCAGAATCATAATTGGGGGGGGGGGTGGAGATTCAAAAATCTATATTTCTGAAAAGTTCCCCAGGTGATTCTCTGGAGCAGCCAGGTTTGAAAAATCCCTGATCTAGGCCAATGTCTCAATTTACAAGTTAGAAAGCTAGATGACAAATTATGCAATTAAACATTACTAATTGTCAAATATTGAATTCTTTCCTATTGCAGCTGGTTTGCAGGTAACATCTCCAGGTCACAAGCTGAACAGTTACTGAGACAAAAGGTAAATCATCTGGTCTTTAAAATAGCACCTAAGAATGTCTTTCTATTGTTGGGTAATGCACTTCTTACAGAAACCTTAGTGCTAATTAGGCATCACATCATCATAGTGTTGGTTTTCTATCCTATAGGCTACCATGTCCTTCACATATAGCTACTTCCTCTGTTCCCATTATGTATTTGTGTAATAAGTCACTTCAAAATGTAATGGCTTCAAACAACAACATTCATGATTTCTCACAATTCTGCAAGTGATTAAGCTGAGTCAGCAGTTTTTATGCAGGTTTGGTATAGTGTCTCTCATGTGGATGCAGTCACTGGGGGGTTGGGATTAGCTGAGGCAATCAACCTGGATGCCATAGTTCTTCTCCATGTGGCTAAATTGGGCTTCCTTACAGCATGGTTATCTCAAGGCAATGGTTGAAGAGGATGAGCCCTACCGTTCAGTGCAAACATTATCAAGTCTCTGTTTTTTTTCATGTTTGCTAATGTCCCATTGGCCAAAACAAGTCACATGGCCCAGCCAAGAATCAATGTGGGAGGGGACTTCACTAACTTGGTATTTCAACACATTCTTTGTTTTTTATTTACTCTTTCTGAATGTGAATTTGTTTAGAATTAACACAAGTTCTTAAGAAAGACAAATTGAGCGTAGAACTAAAAGATTTGTTCTACACCTTTAGTTTTCTAAAACTTTCAAGAGTATGATATGATGACATGTGCATTTAGATTTCATTTCGGAAAGATTAAAACATTAGGCTTACATAAATACAAAACAGAGAAAATTATCAGGGAGTATTCAAAGTTAACTGGTAAGAAAGCGTTGAAGCACACAGGGTAGATCTGGAAAGAAACTGAGAAAAGAAAGAAGCTACACCGTGGGCCCCCTTCTGCACCAACTGTTGAATAATCTGTGTCATCAACGAGATTTAAAGTGAATCTATGAGAAGGGTCTCTTACATTTGCAACAGTATGGATGGACCTGGAGAGTATCATGCTAATCGAAATAAGCCAGTCAGAGAAAGATAAGTAACACATGATCTCATATGTGGAATCTAATGAACAAAATAAAGTGATGAATAAAATAGATCCAGAGACATAGAACCATGGAAGAGACCGGTGAATTTCAGAGGGAATGTCGGGGTGGAGAAGTGGGGGTGGGGGAAGATTAACCAGGGAATTTATATGTATTTATGCATAGCCCATGGACACAGACAATAGGGTGGTGAAGGTTTGGGAGAGGTGGGTGTGGGGAGGAGAGGGTCAATGGGGGAAAAACAAACAAAGAGGACATCTGTAATACTTTCTACAATAAAGAAAATATTTTTTTAAAAGAAAGATACAAAATAAGAAAATAAAGTGAATCTAAAAGATCTAGTTTCCTACTGCCTACCAGAACAACAAATCATTTTCAAGGACAACAAAAATGTTTTCCATTTCTTTTTATTTTCCTTCCTTTTCAGGGAAAAGAAGGAGCATTTATGGTTAGAAATTCCAGTCAGGTGGGAATGTACACAGTGTCTTTATTTAGTAAGGCTGTGAAGTAAGTATGACATGGATTTGCTTTTTTTAAATTTTCTTGTGTATTCTTTGAATATGCTGATCATTTAGTCATCATATTTAAACTCTGGAATTTTAGGTCAAAGTATTTATGTTGAATGAGACTATTTGTATTGGCCTTTCTCCCCGCTACTTCCAAGAGGCTGTCCTCATGGATCCTTTCCTGCCTATCCCAGGTGGCAGCAAAGTGCCCAGTGCACAGGATGCGTCAGTAAATGTTAAAGGAATTCTGGGTTACTCCTCTCAATTCAGTCCCAAGCCTAGAAATAGAAAAATAGCATCAGAGCCTCTTCATTGTTGGTCCTGGCCACAAGCTGGGCTGAGAAACCAACGTCTGAAGTTAGTAAGTTTTTACAGTGGGTGCAGTTAGCAAAAGGTGAATCGGTGTAGCTGTGTTCCCCAGATAGTTTCTTTCTAGGATGCTGGCCTCTCCATGGGGTTATGAGTTCTGATTTGAAGTCACTCCTCAGGTTCCAAATCCTGACTCTACCATTTATAAAGCTTTCTGGCATTGAGAAAGTTTCTTAAACTCTGTGCCTCAACTTCCTTATCTGAAAATGAAACAGAATAATGCTTACTATGTTCCATGAATAAAACAATCTTGTGTATCAGATCGGAACAATGCCTGGCATATAGTAAACACTCAATAAACTAGTAACAATTACTATTATTGTTGTTGAGAAAGAGTAATTCGACCTGCTCCATCACCTCCATCCCAACATCTAGGTATAAAAAACCTCCACAGTCATTTCATGCAAATCATCCTTACCAACATCAGGATACCACTTCAGTTTCACAAGCCTCTTTCCCATTGGCTGTCAGCTCTTTTTTTCCTTCTAATCATACTGTGAAGCAAATAGGAAAGCTGTTTTCATTTGCACCATTTTGCAGATGAGAAGACTGAGGTTCAAAGAAAGCTTATGAAGACCCATCCACAGATTAATAAACATCAACTTGAAGCTGTGCCTTTAACAGCCCCAAGTTCATGTTCCTTCAACCACACTTGTTTCTACACTGAAACTCCAAATTTTCTGAAATAATAACATGAACAAAAAAATTGAACAATTTTTTTCTTTTAATGGTTGGATTGAATGACCTTCTGCCTTGGTGTCTTCTCCATGTGTCCTGCCCTGTGGTGTTTATATGTATTTTTGCAATAATTAAGTGATTAAAAGTTATTTTATTTTTAGAAGATTTTTACAGAATTTCTATCTCCAATTTGAGAGAATAGAATGTATTTTAAGCAGTCATCTGGAACTTTCCAATGCCAGAATTCCCTGATGCATCTCATGTACTAGGTTGCACATCTGGATGCTGGCTGAAGCCAACTCAGTAAGAAGTGGTAGATTTGGTTCACCGAATATCAAAAGCTCTGTGGCCCTCTGCTCCTGCAGTTTTAGCCAAACCTGATATCAGAAGTCTTTCTAGTCAAGTTTCTTGATACCAGATTTGTTCTTGAAGGTGACCAGGTAGAAAAAAAATCAGCAGATGGATAAGGAATCAAATTAAAATAATCAAATCAATTAATACAGAAGCCTTCTCTTACCAAACACCATCAATGGGCTTGAATGAGTTTCATACTGACACCAAGAGCTGGTGAGCCATTTGCAACAAGAAAGTGCCCTTTTCCCCTTTTATAATTGCAGTTTTAACTAGGCTGGCATTGCAACAAAATTTATTAGCAGTGTCTTATGTGCCAACCATAATTCAGTTTGGTATGTATATAATCTCCCCAATCTTTATAACAAACAAATAAGGTAGCCAGCAAGCAGTTCTTAACCACTCTGCAATCCTCTCAAATCTAAGACAGACATATTATTCCTGGTTAGCCTAAATCAGTTACTCTAATTTACCATTGTCTTCTAAAAGTAGAGCAAAAGAAAAATGTTTTATGTACAAAGGTACAAGTTTACATGAGGAATTAAGGGACACCCCCACACACTCCTGTCCATTCCATTCCCCCAGAGAGCCTCCTTCCCATCCATACTCCAGGAAAGAATACTCACAGCCTAATCACCATTGCCTCCCACATTTTTAATTTTCATTATTACCATTAAAAAGATTTACTGTTTAGAATAATGGTCCTGAAAAATTGCAGGGCTTTCAATCATCAAAAGAAGATTCCAGCTTTATACTTACTAAGGGAGGAAGAGTCTAGAAAGTTGGAATTTTATTGTACATGAATTCTGTATGCGCACAAAGGACATGTTGAGTTCAGAGAAGAGCCCTCTTTCATAATTAGTAATTGTTATAAATACCTCCAGAAAAATGCCAGATATGAAGACTGGGAAACCCTCTCTGATTCCCCTCTCCAAAATTTGCAAATACACCTAATATAATTAACCATCATGCCATGAAGCTTCGATTGTTTATTAAAAATGTTCTAACAGTCTTTCTTTTTACTAGTGATAAGAAAGGAACTGTCAAACATTACCATGTGCATACAAATGCTGAGAACAAATTGTACCTGGCAGAAAACTACTGTTTTGATTCCATTCCAAAGCTTATTCACTATCATCAACACAATTCAGCAGGTAATTTATTTCAGTTTTTCTTTTATGAGTCTTTGTTGATAAATAATATTTTCCTTGGATACTACTGATCCTCCTAATATTCCAAATTATATAGGGAACCACGAAAGTAAAGAAAAAATGCTCTCAAGCTCTATGCCTGCTGTGATTTTTAACCCATATTTCCTGGAATATACCATTATACACTCTATAATGCCAGAAAATTTAAGCTGAGTGAGCTGAATGACTTAAAACATAGAAATTGTCTTTATAAAAATATTTGCAGTTTTTTTCTGCCTAAGGAGTTGATTGCAAAATTCAAACATTATAGATATAGATATAGTAGGTTATCTCTCCAATGATACACAAGTTGGTGTCTGTTCTGAATTTTTTCTATGATGGTACTAACACTTATTGTTTATGTATATGCACAAATAGATACATTATATTTTTACTGAGATGAAATCATTCTACACATGCCACTTTCCAGCTGCTTTATTCAACATGTCTTGGAGGTCTTTGCATGTAGATATGTATACCTTACTTTGGTCTATTTAACAGCTATTGAGAAATCTATTATAGAATTACTTCATAAGATATTTACCTAACCCTATATTGATCAAAAGTTGGATCATATGCACTATTTCCCATTACAATTAATATTTCAGTGCAGTCCTGCCAATATAGCTCAGTGCAACTATATGGGTGTTTCCGTAGCCAAATTCCCTAGAAAGGTAACCTATATATATAAAAGGCTAAGTTACATGACTATCTCACTGGCTGGTAGGTAATGCAAAAGCTGCTGAGCTGTGGTGACTTGGCAGCAGCAGTTCTTGGGTGATGCAACTGGAACCAGAGAGGAGGGAGCCCAATTCTGGGGTGAATCACCGGAGAACTGTACTCTTGCAATCCTGGACCCCCTCAGGGGATGTCGGAGAGCTGGTTTTGGCCTGATTACCACAAGCCAGGCCAAGGGACCCTGCCTGATGGATGGACCACACTCACTCTGTAGATGCCCACCCCAGTGTGCCTGTCCTGGAAGGGACTGTGGGAGGTTGACTCAAGGGCATGTCCAGCCCATCTCACCCAGTCCTCCCACCTTCTACAATAATTAATTTTCTTTCAATATGCATGAATCCGTACACCAGGGCACTAGTTTCTGAGATAATGGTTAAGAATGTTTAAAATTTAAAGATTGTCAAATGCTTTTCAGAAATGTACATTCCCACCAACAGCAACAGCCTTCTTCTTCACCACATATTTTCACCAAATTTTGTCTGATTAGCAAAACTGTATATATAAATCCCTCCTAATGGAAGTGTTAACTAACCTAATTATGGTAAACATTTCACAATACATACATGTACCAAGTCATCACATTATACACCTTACAGTTATATATGTTATATGTAAGTAACATCTCAATAAATGTAGAAAAAAAGAAGTTAAAAAAAATTCCCTCTAAATGTCTTTTCAAGACTAGTGTCACTTAGAGGCAGTGCTTGGATGAATTTCCAACAGTGAGTAATAATAAGCTGTGGGCTCAGAGTCAAATCGTGCAACTTTACCCAACCTAATTACATGCACATTAAGTGAATTGGCCTCACTCCTTGCTTTAATTTTGATTCCTACTTGAATTTTTCTTTTGCCCCAATTTAATCAATTGTTTATTTTAACCTGTAGTGCCTCAAAAGGACCCTTGGCAAGGGATTATATAGACATCTCCAAGTGTAATGATTCCTCTCCAGAGCATGCACAAGCAACCCCACAGGATATAAGAAAAAAAAAACACACACACACACAGTAAAATGTTTATTTAGATTAGTTTTAAAATCTCATTCTATTAACTTTACTATTTGTGAGGACACTTTATGATTCAAATACTGTATCAATACAGCAGCAATTGTGTACATGCATATTTTGGAGGAGTGCACTATTATTATTTTTACAATTAAAGGTGTAAAATTTAAAAAATTTGAGGACCACTCATATAAAAAGTAAATAAATATAGAAAAATAAAGGAGAGACAGTTTCTAGGACTTGAAAAGCCTCTCATAATTAAAACAACAAACATATATTTTTTTAATGAGTTCTCTCAAGCCACTATAAATACTATGATTATTTTAATCCTGCTTTATCATAACTTGATGTAAACAACTAAAATGACTTGACAGTTTAATTTTTTTAAAGTGGTTTACTTTTTATTTTATACCCCTCTGCACTTTGAAAAAATTTTTTTTACCAAATGTGTGTGTTGTGTTTATACATATTTAAATATAGAACTCTAAAAAGATAGCAACATATAAGTGGGAAATTTTTTTTTAATGAAAAACTCCATCAAGCCACTCACTTTGATGGGATTTTCAAGATGACAAAGTGGTTTTATTCTTTTAATTTTTGCTTTACTTTGAGCTAATTAGTCAAGTCAAGCAAGCTGATACAACTACAGGATGACTATGATCAGAAAGGTTTCATTCTCTGCATATCACAACCTGAACTCTGTTTTTCCAACTGCTCTGGAGAGAGTATAAGCAGAGGTGTGATGTGATGTGATGTGATGTGATGTGATGTGATGTGATGTGATGTGATGTGATGTGATGTGATGATGTGATGTGATATGATAATATAATACTGATTCTGTTGCAGGCATGATCACACGACTCCGCCACCCCGTGTCAACCAAGGCCAACAAGGTCCCCACCTCCGTGTCTTTAGGAAGTGGTATGGACATACACTTTGGCTCTTACATTTCATTTCCTACATTTTTTAAATTAAAATGTACATATAGCCCTAGCCGGTTTTGCTCAGTGGATAGAGCAAAACTGAAGGGTCCTAGGTTTGATTCCAGTCAAGGACACATGCCTAGGTTGTGGGCTCAGTCCAACATAAAGGAGGCAGCCAATCAATAATTCCCTTTCATTGATGTTTTTGATGTTTCTATCTCTTTCTCTCCCTTCCTCTCTAATATATATATATAATTTACTGGGGGAAAAATAGGGAAGACAGGAAGGTTATCCTTGTCAGATTGTGCCAGGGAGGGCTTCAGCTCTAATATATTTGTTCATTTTTTTAAAAATAACTTTTCCATCCTCCCAACCTAACTCTGTAATCTCTCCAGCATTTGACAAAAAGATTGTCAAAATTTTTCTTTTATTAGATCCAATCATCAGCTTCTAGAGCCCCGTTGCCTGTTAGTTCTTCTTCTAGGATTCTGTGCCTGGAAGAAGGGGAGTCCGTTTTCACCCTTGTGTAGGATAATGACATCCACCCAAGTCACATATTTAAGAAAATATGATATTTTACCAAGCTAAAAGAATCAGCACATTTTGTCACTGAGTCTTTCCATGATGCCTCTGGTGGGCAAAGTGGTTTTACCGTAAGCTTTTTTTTTTTTTTTCAATGATTATATTATAGCTGCTTTAAGAAATATATTGTCTTATTGGTATTACCATGTGGCCTAATAGGTCATAAGACCACATTACTAAGGGCTTTTTAAGTGGTCAACTAAAAATTCTTGCTGTTCTTCATATTGCCAATATGAAACTGTTGCGGGGGAAGAAATTGCTTGGAAAGTTGTTAGCCCCAAAGCCTTATATTCTCATCCTAAAGAGCGCCTGTCTTGCCTTGTTAGGAATCTGGGAACTGAAAAGAGAAGAGATTACCCTGTTGAAAGAACTGGGAAGTGGACAGTTTGGAGTGGTCCATTTGGGCAAATGGAAGGGGCAGTATGATGTTGCCATTAAGATGATCAAGGAGGGCTCCATGTCAGAAGATGAATTCTTCCAGGAGGCTCAGACCATGATGTAAGTTTCTTCTGGGGAAAGGCAGTTTAGCCCTCACCATGGGAAGACATTCATGCTAATAGGCCTGACTCTAATATTAGCAAGGCCTGGAGCGAGTGGCCACATATCATAGACATAAATGCTTACAAGTTAAAAATCAAGCTAACACACTTAAGTAAAATCAGCTGTGCTCCACTTTTGACAAGTATACCTTCATGACAGCCTGAAAGGCTATAATCAAATTTAGCATTCTAAAGACTCTTTAGAGGAACCAGCCTCTGGCCCATGGCCCCCACAAACTCCCCCTCTACCCTTTCTCCTCCCAATCCCTGCTCTGTCCTGCACTATATTCAGTACTTGTGTTCAAACATAGAATTCGTATATCCAAGATCCCTCTGTGTATCCCACAAACAACTACTGGCTAATTATCTTGGTTAGGTGGTTTACTTCGGGGGGGAGGGGGGCGCAGATCCTAAAAGAGTCTGCACAGGTCCTAGAAGAGGCCTCAGGACTATGTGGACAGGGGATGATAGTCCTGGTACACCAATTATGATAGAAAAAGGGATGTATGGGTTCTGAGTGAGCATGTCTCCTTAGCCCTCTGACCTCCTTGCCCCATGGAGAGGTACATGGTAGAATGCAGAACACAGTGGACACAGTGGGTCCCTGTAAAGCACATGCCTGAGGTCAGGAGTCTCTAGTGGTCAGGACTAAGACAATACTGAAAACGCCCTTATAGGCAATATCCTTTTGCTTCCTGGTACCTTTAATATAGTCTGATAAATCCCTTTCTTACCCTATTCTTGCCTCACCGATAATGAACAAATCCTTCCCAATGGGCTTCAACTCCAAGCACACTACATATGTATGTTTGTGTATGTGTTCTCTTTCTCTGTTTTAATTCTCTCTCTCTCTCTCTCTCTCTCTCTCTCTCTCTCTCTCTCTCTCTCTCTCTCTCTCTCCTATGCAAGTACAAAGAATTAATTTCATGATTCTACCTCTTCTTGTCAATATGATGACTCAGACTTTGAAGGGCATCTAACCATATAGCTTTGTCTGAGACTTCCCTGAATAGAAACCTTTGCTAGGGCTGGCTGCATGGGTATGTAACCCACCCTTAGAAGAGCTCTACATTGGTTTAAGGCAGTTCTGTCACCATCTGAAATTCTGAATAATCTCTATATATAAAAGCCCAGTGACCACTACAGGGGAATGACAAGAAAAACCAGAGTGACTGGTCGCTATGATGTGCTCTGGCCACCAAGGGGCAGATGCTCAATGCAGGATCTGCTCCCTGGTGGTCAGTGCGCTCCCACAGAAGCTGGGTTTATGACTGGCAAGTGCAGGCAGGTGGTTAGGATGGAGCAGGTGGGAGGTAAGGAGTGAGGGGTCCCAGATTGTGAGAGGGATGTCCGACTGCCAATCAGGCCTAAACTGACAGTCGGACGTTCCCCAAGGGATCACAGATTGTAAGAAGGGTGCATACCGGGCTGGGGGACAATCCCTACCCCATGCATGAAATTCATGTATCAGGCCTCTAGTTCTTAAATAAGCACCCCTGCATTTTCATTTTGCTCCAGTTCCTGCAAATTATGTAGCTCATTCTGCTTTTGGCAATTGGACTGTGATAAAACTGGGGAGGAAGCCCTGATGTCTTCTCCCTTTTGTAAGACAGAAAAATCTCACAGAGACTCCCTTAGGCTCATGGTGTAACCCCACCCCACCCCCATGTCCTGGTATAATTTTAAAACATATTTTTTGCTATTAGAAGGTTGGTAATCAAGCAGAATCATTAAAAAAAAAAGTCATTAACAAATCACCTAGTTATAAAAAAGAAGTCAAACTGTACCATAAGCATTAAATCCCACATGTAATGATCAACTAACTGAGACTTATCAGGTGGGGATACCAATTGACATGGTGTTCCCACCATGTGCCCTCTGATTATTGACAGAATTTACTCAAGTAAGAGCTTTTAATGCGTCACGGACCTTTGTTCTGCCATAAGCCTTCCCTCTGAAGAGTACCAGGTCTCTACAGTTGCTGAAAGATGCATAACTGGGCTCATCACCCTGAGTAATATGATAAGGCATGACTCTATAGTTCAAGAAGAAAGAAAAATAACTAAATATTTAATAATTCCTCAATTATTAAAACATTTAAAAGTTGACATATTAAGTTCAGGTTTACTTTACACATCTTAAGATTAAAGAATCATCCTGTAAATGGATAAGAATAGATTATATAAGGACAAGTTGATGAACATCATAACAGATGAGTGTCCATCCATCATAACCTACTAAAAGTGCTATGTCATGTTTTTACTATTTTCTAAATTTATTATTGAAAAAATAATGTAACAATGTAATGAGTTTTTTTTTAAAGAAAAATTATGCCTAGTCTTATTTCCCTAACATAGTGACTATATTCATTTTATCTATACCATTCATATTTTGATACAATTTTTTAGAATGAAATATTTAGACATGAAAGTTAGATCTTTAAAATGGAAGTGTGTAATTTTAGGGTTTAGGTTCATCCAAATCAGTCATGGAAGTCCTCGAGATGCCACTAGATTAAACAGGATTTCCAAGGCACCAGACCATTGCTTCCCTGCTTCTTTGTATGGAAATTGAGCACAGTATCCATAACCACTAAATTGCTGCTGGGGTTATCAATGTCAAATGTAAGACCGCACTTTTTTTTCCTTCAAAGACTAATAAGATTCAAAAGTGTTTTCTTCTTTCCCTGTTCAAGTAGAAGAGGGGAATTCAAACAAACAAATATCTGAGCGTGATACTTTTTCAGGACATCCAGAAAGTGGTGTGGAAATTCAATACTTAACTTTGAAAATCTGTTGTTTCCAGGAAACTCAACCATCCCAAGTTGGTGAAGTTCTATGGAGTGTGCTCAAAGAGATACCCTATATATATAGTGACTGAATATATAACCAATGGCTGCTTGCTTAATTACCTGAAGAGTCACGGAAAAGGACTGGAAACCTACCAGCTCTTAGAAATGTGCTATGATGTTTGTGAAGGCATGGCCTTCTTGGAGAGCCACCAGTTCATACATCGGGACTTGGTAAGCAAAGGCGTTGGAAACTCAAAGAAAGGAAAGAAAACAATCCACACTCCCCACCTTCAGCACTGGGGCCATTGGGAAGAATGGCAAGGAGGCCACCTTAGCTTTTACTTTGCTCACATGTGACTTGCTTAAGCACATGACACTTTCATAATTTTTTTAAAAAAATCACAATTTCAAAATAAAATATTTGCAGTTCAGAAAGAACAGAGAGATTAAAAGAAGCCATCAAGATCTTTGTAGTTGTGTGTCGTTTGAAGGAAAGGGGATGGAAAGGGAAGTCTTTGGTCAATTTAGTGTTTCTGGGAACCATTAAACCCAAGTAGACCCTTACTCTAAGAAGGGCCTGGTGCCAAAGCAGTCATTTAATACAATAACTGAAAATATAAAAACAAATGAAAACCAGAGAGAAATGAAACTTGTGTATGTGTTTGAGTCAGAAGGGGAGGGAAAAGTGTTCTGCTTGGTATGCACTGGTATTTATCTTTAGAGATTTTCTTGTGTTGAACAGAAAACATGCCATGCACACTAGGCAGGTGCATTGTGAGTCTCCGGTACAGCATTTCTACCTTAAGAGTGCATGTTGCTGCAAGGTATCCTTGAAGAAGCCTCTTGAACTGATTTTTTCTTCTCATTGAGGGGCTCGGGTCCTGTGTTTAATGTGTAATACCTTTTGTGTTTGACAAGGATGGGTGCGTGGGTGAAAATACTTATGAGAGCACATTTTTATTTTGTAAAATCAAAAATTGCAAAGGGAGAAAAGACAACTCCCCAACATTTGGGGTTTTGCTAGGAAATCTTAGATTTTGCAGGGAATTTTGCCAAAGAGAAGAAAGATTACAGAAGATTCATGGTCACCTTTACTACTTGATGATTTTGTGTTGTTGTTTTGTTTGTTTGTTTGTTTGTTGTTTTTCTCCAAAGGCTGCTCGAAACTGCTTGGTGGACAGTGATCTCTCTGTGAAAGTATCTGACTTTGGAATGACAAGGTAAGCCAGTCCCAAAGGGGCAACCAATAAAAGAAAGATTTCCATTTTCAACTCAATGCCATCATAATTAAAGGCTCTGTGGGGATACAGAACATGCGCTGAATTGGGGGCTTAGAGACCTGGATTTCCTTCCCCATACTATCTTTGCCTACCTATGAAACACATTTCCTCACCTGTAAAGTCCCTTTCAGTTCTTTCAACATCCTGATAAATACTTTCTAAATTTATAAATTCCATGCAAGATCCTACATATTTAAATATAAAATATTACAGTCAGATGATTTGGATAAATATGTGGATGGATGGATAAATGATTGATAGATAGATAGATAGATAGATATAGATAGATGATAGATAGATAGATAGATAGATAGATAGATAGATAGATAGATAGATATAGATAGTTAGATAGATAGATAGATAGATGATAGAGTCCATCAAGGTTCCTTGAGCCCTCTGTCTGGGGGTTTTCTTAATATACTGTATATCCAAATGGGTAGAGCATTAGCATCAGGAAAATTTTGTTGTCATGTCATTAAATTATCTTTATCATGAAGTAAGGCATGAAATTAGACTCTGAGATTCTCCTGATGGGTGTTCTATCACCATTTCATCATTTTGGAGAATCATTTTGATTCTGATAGCACTTACTTTAAAAGTCTTCCATTCCCTAATTTTGAATTCTCATTCTACTTAAGCCCTAAAGCCAATCTGCATGACTTTACATAGGAAATGAAAACATACATGCTAGCCTTGTCACTGAACATTTATCAAGTTCCTACTAGACTCCTTGAACTTATGGGGCATAGTGATATGAATGGAATAGTCCCAAATACAGCAGCAAGTCAAATGTATGGGCATTAAAAATGCCAACAGTTGGTCCAAAGGGCAAGTAGATGTTACTGACATTGAGACAAAATACAGCTGTAAAATTGTGCTGACTCAACATAAACTCACATAATGCTGAGGATGAAGAATGCAGTTTCTAACAGATCTGACAAGTTTACCAAGGCCAGCTCTGTATTTAGCAAACATAGCCCTAAAACACCATAGGAAGACCTATCTCTAAATTTTCTACAAAATTCTGTATTAGGAAGCACTCCTCTTCTGGGACCCCTCAGTATGGCAAGGTACCCTTTAGCTGTGTTACCTGCCATCACTCCAAACACCATACACTGAGTCTCCTGCACTGACATTCCATATATGAAGGCAGGAAGAAGCTCTCAGAACAGGGCTGATTCCCACCTTGTTCATAAAGTAGGAATATTGACTGTTGTGCCAATATGCAGGGAATATACCTCAAGTCCTTTGTTTCTTAGAAAAAAATGGGAATACAAGTCTTACTTTGAATAAGGGATGCTGGGGACCAGGCCCTTTCTGTCACAAAGCTATGTGTCACATCATTCAGATGCCTGTGACTTAACTTGGTCCTAGTGATGTGAACAAAGGGTTAAACAACACAAAATTACCAGTTGGGGGTGCCAATGTAATTTCTGGGTGTCTTGTGGTGTCTGTGAAGCTGAAGAGGCCCAGGGAGAAAAGTACGGAAGATGCTATATATAATCCTATGAAGTTGTTATTCATTATTACTATTATTTGCATAGAATGACTTGCCAAACCAGCTATTTCTGATGTTTTAAATTATGGTAAATATCTCTAACACATTTTGTTGTGTATAGTTTTCCTATAAATTATATCTAAAATTTCAGTTTTCATAATGTTTATTTTCATATTGTCCTATTTATGAGTCATTATTTATTTGGCTTGGGGGCAAATATATTGGGTTCCTCTATATTAATTATAAAGTAGTATGTGCTTATTGTGAGGAATATAACAATGGTGTATAAAGTCAAGTAGAATTTGACCCTTTACCTCATTCTCAGCACTAGTAATAACTATTGCTAATACATTCAGTGGATATCCTTCCATACCTGATTCTTAGGTATACCCAATCATGTATACAAGTAAGTACATATACTGTTTGTTTCCATAAAAGTGGAATCACATTATATGTACTTGCTTTTGCATATAAACGTATACCCATGGTCTCTTTTTCTTATGGTAAATATAGAGTTATCTTATTTTTTATAGCTGCATATTATTCTATTGTATTAATGTACCATATTATATTTAATCACTCCTCAACATGAGAACATTAAGATTTTTTTCATTATCGTTATTATAAGCCACAGTATAGTGAATATCCTTGAACATATATTTTTATGGTCTTAATAGCCCCATAGGATATTTTTGTTCATCATTGTTTATAACAGCAAAATATTAGAAGCCATTTACATGGTTAAACAAATTATGTTAATTTATAAGAGGGCATTCAGTCATTAAACATGATGGTGCAGAAGAAAATGTAACCATATGGACAAAATGTTCTTGATATGTGGTTAAAGGAAAAATAAAAGCAAATTTCAACATGAAAGAAACCCAATTTTTTTTCATATTATATACAGAAAAGAAAAAGATTGGAAACTATAAGCAAAAATGTATCTTGAGTGGTAGAATTACAGGTTATCTTTGGGGTGGGATTCTGAGTGACTTCATGTTTACATTTTTGTGTTTTTATATATTTACCAAACATTTTGCACTCATATTTTGGTGTATTCAAAGTTAGGTATCATTTTTAAAGCTTACAAGTCATAAGCAGGCTCTACCTAAGTATACACGTTGAAAGGAAGCAAAAGATCCAGAACATCAAGGCATCCGGCTGACTGGCTACCTGTACTACTTGCCACCAGGCAGTGGCAGCCAGCAGAGTCTCCCCATTCTGCACAACCAAGCAGCTTAAGGTCTGTATTGATCCCTTCCCCTCCCACACAGGTATGTTCTTGATGACCAGTATGTCAGCTCAGTAGGAACCAAGTTTCCCGTCAAGTGGTCAGCCCCAGAAGTGTTTCACTACTTCAAATACAGCAGCAAGTCAGACGTATGGGCATTCGGTAAGAATGTGGCCACACAGGCCTCAGCCCCATTTCACAAGCCAGCTTCCACAACAGGAAACCACAAGGGTAACAACATCCATTTTTAGCAAAAACCCTGAGCGCTTACAAAATGTAGGCAAGCAAGAGATAGAAAATGATCTTTCCTTGAGCTGGTGCTATAATGTCTGCAAGTATTCTGTACTTTGCATCCTGCTACCACCTTCTCATAAAAGCTGTTCTACTGAAGAGTTCAAGCAATTTTTAAAAAATGAGTCATTGAAAACAAAAACTGAGTTTGCATGAAGTGGAAAACACTGAAGGGTTTACAATGAAATCATCTGTTTTCGGCATGAGAGCAGCTGTGATAAGCATTCCTTTCTGAATTGACCCATTTGTGGGGACATGCCTGATATAAAAAAAAAAAAAAGAAAGAAAGAAAGAAAGAAAGAAAGAAAGAAAGAAAGAAAGAAAGAAAGAAAGAAAGAAAGAAATATGACTCAGTGTTCTCTTTGACCCATACCAATTTCAACTAGCTTCCTCATTAAAAGTCCTAATTTAAATCAGGGATGAGCAAGCCACAAAGCAGGACCAAATCCAGTGACCTATTTCTGTAATTAAAATTTTATTGGCACCAGGCCATGCCCATTTGTTTTAGTATTGTCTCTGGCTGATTTTGTGCACTAGCAGAGTAGAGTAGTTGCATAGATGCATGTCCCCCCACAAAAATAAAACTAAAATACTCTCTATGTTACTCTTTACAGAAAAAGTTTTCTGGCCTCTATTTTATTAAAAGATCTATATTGAAGTTTAGTAACGATAATTAGAAAACTGAAATAATCCTTAAATTGTAATTTTGTAGATTTGCTGATGTTTTTCTACATTGGGAGGGATGTCAGACCTGTTTACAATCACCATCAGAAGCATCCAGGATAAATAATCCAAATTATTATCAAGCTACAGAATGTATTTAATTCAACTAAAACCTATTTCATGCTTGACGTGGTCCATAAGCATAATTGGACTTTCTACATGACATATATAAGACTACCTTTAAAAAGAAAAAATTTAGTCATGGACACAGACAACAGTGTGGTGATTGTGGGGTGGAAGGGGGTAGATGAAAGTGGAAGAGAAGATAGGGGGGCTAAATGGTGATGGAAAATAACATAATAGGGTTAGGGTTAGGATTAGGGTTAGGCATTTACTTTTTTATATAACATGATTTTAAAAAATAATTATTCCTTTAGTAAAGGTGCTATTGTTCATTGTAAAAAATAATAATCCAGTATATACAGAAAAAGGAAAAACCACAAAGATAGCATTTTGGTGAATACTTGACAATATTTTATGCTGATTCATTTGTCAAAATTGGTTTCAATCTCCTTGCTCCAGTTAATATGCCTTGTGAAAGATATTTTTTAAAACAACATGCTTACTTAATAGTTCTACAATACCTTGTGTTTTACCAAAAAATTGAGTTATCCAGATTAAGGACTCATCTTTGCACCAGAACGTGGCTCCTGGCATTTTCTGGCTGTTTTCAAAAACTAAATCCATTCTTCAATAATGTGTCCCCAATAAAGATATTCAAAATGAACCAGGGCCTCCGCAAGTAACTCTCAAAAAGGAGTTGCTCATTCAACAAACTGTGCGCCCTCTGATGTCTGCTCTCTTTCCTTGTTGTCTGTTGTCCCCCGCCCGCCTCCCGGCCCCTTGGTGCGGTGCAGGGATCCTGATGTGGGAAGTGTTCAGCCTGGGGAAACAGCCCTACGACTTGTATGACAACTCCCAAGTGGTTGTGAAGGTCTCCCAGGGCCACAGGCTCTACCGGCCCAAACTGGCATCGGACACCGTCTACCAGATCATGTACAGCTGCTGGCATGAGGCAAGTGCACCACCAGGGGAACTGGGTGCCATGTCACCCCTAGGTAAAGCATTTTTGAGGGGGGAGGCACCAGCTTCAGATCAGGTGGAAATGGCCGAGGCCCTCTGCCCTCAAGTGTTTGCAATTAAAAACAAGAAATGCAGGTGCCAACATTTAACAACTTATACCCAACGCTGTTCAACAAACTTCATAAATATTAGCTTATTTATTCATCAGTAAACACACTGATATCATGGCTAAAACTAACAGAAGAGGAAACAGACCCAGAGATGTTTAAGTGACTTGTCCAAGGTCATACAGCCATGAAGACGCTGACTGGTCTTGGAATCCCTGTTCTTAACCACATTATAGGGTCTCTCCTCGGGTAGAAAATGTGTAATAGAGAACTTAAAAGCATGTGTAGAGAATACACAGAGAGAATAATGGACATGACTCCGTCCTCTCTTCCCACACTTACCAAAGGCTGAGTAAAAGCACTCCACGCAGATAAGGAATAAGAATATGTTTTGAAGTAGACATGGAGCTGAAATTGCTGATTGATTGCCCTCAAAGAACTCAGCCCACACACACACACACACACACACACACACACACACACACACACGTGTACTCATACTGTGGAACTGAAAACACCAAGCAGTTTATAACTATACACACTATACCTGCGCAATATAAACAGAAACAAGTATAGGACTTACTGCCATCACTGGTCAGTTGAAGAAGAGGAGTAAACAAGGGATTTTGAGGTGAAGCCAGACCTCCTTGGCCCTCGCCACTCCAGCTCCAGAAACTAGGACTGCACCATCAGTTAGACAGGAAGCCCTGAACAGGAAGGACCTGCCTTCTTTCCACAGCTGCTCCACCTAAGTGTGTGAATGATGGTAGGATCCATTGAGAGGGGCTGCAGAGACAATCCCCGATGAATGTTCTGCATCTAGTGAGCGTTTTAGTCTCCCTTCAATTTTCCTTGTTAATCCTCACCTGAGGGTATTTTTTACATTGATTTTCAGAAAGAGTGGAAGGGAAAAGTAGAAACAGAGAGAAACATTGATGTGAGAGAGACACATCAATTGGTTGCCTCCCCACGTGCCCCAAACTTGAAACTGAGGTGTGTGTCCTTGACCCGCGGGCTGATGCTCTATTCGCTGAGCAAAACCAGCTAAGGCTCTCCCCTCAACTTCATATTTTATTGCAAAACATTCACAATTTTCATTAGGTTCCAATTTATCTGAATTTCTGCCCATCTGATATATGAGAAATGGCAGTTAAGGCAGCTTTCATATGTTCCTATTCATTATAAATGAAGTATATTTTAAGGGCATTTGCATATCTTTTTAAAAAATATTTTTATTGATTTTTTACAGAGAGGAAGAGAGAGGGATAGAGAGTTAGAAACATCAATCAGCTGCCTCTTGCACACCCCCTACTGGGGATGTGCCTGCAACCAAGGTACATGCCCTTGACCGGAATTGAACCTGAGACCCTTCAGTCCGCAGACCAACGCTCTGTCCACTGAGCCAAACCGGTTTTGGCAGCACTTGTATATCTTCCTGAGAATTATATGTCATGTCTTTGCTCTTCTTTCTAACAGGTTTTTGTTTTCCCTGCCTCAAGTTTTAAAATCCTTTTATAAAGTGAAAGTATTTAGTTTATATTTTAACTTAGCAAATTTAACACCTTTATGATATTGATTTGTAATGCTCAAGAACAAGCAATGTTTTGTTTTTTTCTGTGTTGAAATCTAAGTTTATACTTTTTAGCAGTGTTTTAAAGTTTCCTTGATTTGGAGGTACATTTTTCTTAGTATTTTATTTTGGTGTTGTTGCTAATGTAATTGGGTTTTCTCATATCATCTAATTGGTTATTGTACATATATATATGAAGGCTATTGATTTTGTATGTTAATTTTATATACCATTCTGATGAATTCCTTTATTATATGGGTGGGTTTTATCATGGATTCTCTTCATTTTTCCAAGCATACAATCATATCTTATGTAAACAAAGATACTTTTACTTTTTCTTTTCAATTTGTAGGACTATAATTGTTGTTTCTTTAGTAAAAATGTCTGTAGTGTTTCCACATTTCAATTTTACTAGCTTTAGAACTCAGGCATAAATATTTTATATATTTTATTTTTAATCACAACCATCATAAACTAAACCAATTTTTTCCCTTTTATTTAGCTTCCAGAAAAGCGTCCCACATTTCAGCAACTTCTGGCTTCCATTGAACCACTTCGGGAAAAAGACAAGCCTTAAAGAAGAAACTATTGTAGATCTGATAAGAATGGATATAAATGTTAGCCAACATCTCCTTTCTTTTTAAAGAACGTAGCAAGGCACAGAATACCTAATTTAGTGAGTTCTTCTTAATGGTATTCTGTGTGCTGTTTGTCTGTTATATTATCTAGAAATGAACAAGGTAGGAAAGAAAAGATTTCCTTGAAATTTAGGTCAAATTAATGATTTTGTTTATGCTGCTCTAAATATTATACTTCCAAGCCTAAAGCAGAAGCACATTTCCTGATTGCAGTAAAGAAGGCATATACCACATGTAAAGATTGAATAGAACTGAAAAATTATTGGTTCCATATCTGTTCTTTTCTTTATATCGTCACTCCCATGATAATTAAATATGCTATTAATAAGTACAAAAATGTGGACATTTGCCTTCATGTTTCAATGTTCTCAATCTTTAACATGCATGTGAATCAAATGGAGAGTTTATTAAAACACAGATTCCTAGGAACTACCCCAGAGATTTTGGTAGAGCAGGTCTGAGAGCAGCCAGAGAATGTACATTTTTAACAAGTGTCCAGATGTTCCTGTGCAGACAGTCAGAGCTGCCCTAGGAGATTTCATTATATGGTGGGCATCACTAGGTGATCCACAACTTAATCCAAATAACACAATTCTCATCACAGACCACTGTTAAGCTACACTTGAAGCTTAGATTAGAACAATGACTTTATGTCACCATGTACACAAATAGAAAACTAAAGTTCAACAATATTATATATACTAATAGAAGGGTAATATGCTAATTAGACCAGGTTGACTGGACACCTTCTGATTGTCCTACCTTCCTTCTGGACAAAGCCATGGTGGCAAGGGTCGAGGTAGAGGTGGTTAGGGCTAATCAGGCCAGCGTAGGAGAGCAGTTAGGGACGATCAGGACAGCAGGGGAGGGCAGTTAGGGGTGATCAGGCAGGAAGGCAGATGAGCAATTAGGAGCCAGAGGTCCCAGATTGTGAGAGGGATGTCCCAGATTGGAGAGGGTGTAGGCTGGGCTAAGGGATCCCCGCCCACCCCTGACCCCCACCCCGGTGAATGAATTTCATGCACTGGGCTTCTAGTTCCATAATATGTTAACTATGTTTCACACAGAGAAAATTTTAAAAGGTGCTAAGGTATAACTGTGCCTTTTTCCTTACCTTTAACCATTTTCAATCTCAACTCAAGTGTAACCAAGATCTTATATGTAGAATCGATAAGACTGTTGCTTTCTAGTCATTTTAAATCCTTGAGTTTGGGGCCCTAGGGCTTCTGGCCAGTTTGACAACTGATGTTTCTATTTCAGTCTTCCTTCTTGACACAAAGGTGCAGAAGTATGAGTTTAGTTCTCATGGCTATTATTAAAATATATTTTAGCTTTAAAACTCTTCCTGAGAATTCCCTCCTTCAGAGCCTGCTGCTGAACCCATAGGTTTTCATCGCTCTTGGAATCCTTCATTGTCATCTCTATAATGTCAAGAAGGGAAAGAGAGGTTGTGCTGAGGGCACTATTACAATAAAAAGACACCCTTATTAAGCCCTGCTACTACTTTCTAGCTATAAGTTAAGAATCTCTCTCAAGAGACATTCATACCCTTTCTTGTCCCACTTATTCCCTTGCCCCCAGCTATTTCAAATTATCCCTCTTAGTTATGTGTTACTTGACATTTAATGATTCCATTCTTTTCAGCACAATTTACTTATAATAGTCTCCTGGTTGTTTTTTTTTTTTTTTTTTTTTTACAGAAGTACACAAATCTCAATGTATAATGAAATGAACTTTAAAAGGAACTACTGGGGCATTTATACAGTCATCATGCATTTATTTAGCGTGTTCTCGGTTCCAGGTTCAGTGGGTCACAGTCAGGTGGGAGTGCCAGCCATGCTGTGCTCTCAGACTCTGTCTGCAAGAGACTGCAGTGCAGACCGTGACTCCCCAGAGAAAGATTTTCCAGGCCCAAACTAGGTCTTTCTGCCCCACCCCCTTGACAGTTGTTCTCCCCTTTTCTTTGTGTCTTTATGTATTTGATCTAAAAACAATCACCCTTATAATTGAAGTAATACATGTTTGTTAAAAAAATTCAAACAATATATTATAGAATTGTCTACCATGAAAAGATGCCAAAGCCTGGCTTAAAAGCCTGGCTCCAAGTCAATGAAGATTTTACTGTGGAGCTTTATCAGGAAGTAAGTCCAGTGATGCTAGGGGGAGCCAGGTAATGGAACAACATTCATACTATTTAAAACATGCATAATAATTTTAAATGCTATTTAACTTGTTTAGTGTGATACCTGGCATTTATTGTTGTTGTTTTAAACCAGGGAGCTTCTTAGAAGTGAAGAAAACATTCATCCTCCCCTGACTTGGCTAACTGACCCATATCTCTATAGAATTTATTAAGAACAAAGTTATCTAACATCATGCTGATTACCACACAGAGAGAATTGATAGGTAGAGTTTTGATATTTTCATTTATTTACTCTATTTTAAATCAGTCTTTATGTATGTAGTGGATGCTGTGCTCAGAACTGGGCTAGGGGCTCTGAGATGTATATAAAAGCACATCAGGTTTGTGGTTCCTAACCTAAATGTTATATATACAGTGTGTGTGTGTGTGTGTGTGTGTGTGTGTGTGTGTATCATCTTAACTCAACTATTTTAGACTGAATTTTCAGTTGCTTCATACAATAAACACAATTTTTAAATTGGAATACATTCTAAGACGTTTGAGAGGTCAAAGGTCCCAGACATTCAAATAGCAACCCAGTCCCTGGAAGTGGACAGAATCCACAGAAGCCCCAGTATATAAGTACCCATGAGACCACAGGAGTGTGCAAATCGAGTATTTATTGAGTATATGCTTTGTGCTCAGTGCTACTCAAACATTGTGGGTTAAAACAAAAGATTTAAGAGATTAAGTGCCAACTTCAGAGGTGACATGCAGTTGGATTTCCACTCACTCCATAGGAAGAGGACAATGGAAGTGAGTTTCTACCAGGTATGCTAGGTGGGGGCAGTGTCATGGAGGCCCCAGAGGCTACTTTAATATTATCAGGGAGATGATGATCAAGTAGCTCGGAAGTGAGAAGGCAACATCTTCTGACACTCTGGATTCTTCTCTCTTCTTCAGCCTTGTCACCCCGAGAAACACATGGTCTAGTCCAATCATGACTGGGAAAATTGCTATTGTACTTAGATTTAAGTTGATATGAAGATAACATGTCATACTCTACACATGAATTAAAATAAAGTGGACAATGTGTGTCATTCTCAATATCTGCAGCTCCATCAGTTTACATTCACTGTTCTTAAAAGCCCTCCATCCAGACTCCATATTAGCTCTTACACTGAATCCTCCCGCCATTTCCCCCCAACTCCAGCAACACAACAAACATTTGTATTTCCATTGCCCCTGAACAGCCTGGAATACCAAAGACACACTTTCTCAAATTTGAGGCAGAAGTAAATACTAAAAGCAATGCAAGTAAAGAGGCCTCTAGGCCTCGGCATGTCTTCTTTGGACAATTTTCCTGAACAGAGCCATGGTTTTGATGTTTAATGACATTTTTATAATCTCATATTTTCTTTAGTGTGAAATTAACATTGACATGCAATAAAAAATCACCTCAAGAGGGAATAAAATGGATTTTTTTAAAATGAAGTTTGAACATCATCACCACTTTGGAATCCTGGATTATTTTCTCCTTTACTGAAATTCACAGAAGAATAAGGATTTTCTTCATTTTCTGCTTGGTTTTTCCTGTTAAATAAAATGAAGTCACCTTAAAATAGTGATGTTAGAATGACACTGCCTCCCTTGGGCCCTATTGGGCGCAGGCATCTTTGACATCTCAACATCTAATCACTGATGTATTTGTTTGCATATCAGTCCCCTGTTAATGGACTGTAAACACCTGCAGTGCATTGGGTTCACTTTTTAGCTCCGAGATTGTCACCCTGGCTGGCCAAGCATAAGAGACAAGTTGGGATGTGAGCTCTGGAGTCAGAGAAAGGGGGGCACTGTGCCTCATTTTGCCTATTCAGAAAATGATGGCAACTACGTAAAGCACATGTGTCAAACACAAGGCCCGCGGGCCAAATCCGTCCCTCCAGGCCTTGCAATGTGGCCCGCACCGCGCTGTCATCACTGCACTCCGCTGCGTTTCCATCACAATGACAGTTTATGACTGTTCAGTAAACCATTCGGCCCGCGATTTAGGCTGGATTTTAGATTTTGGCCCCTTCTCTGATTGAGTTCGACACCACTAACGTAAAGACAATGAAATAATGCTTGGAGAGCATTATTACTGGCAGAGCACAGACAGTACCTAACATATAACCCTCAATAGATATTAACCAGTGGTAATAGCAGTAGTAGCAGTAGCAGCAGCAGCAGCAGCAGCAGTAGTAGTAGTAGTAGTAGTAGTAGTAACTCAGTGGTCATTTAGCCAATCACCTCATATTAAAGAGCTTCCCTACTTTAGCAACTTCCAAGGTATAAAGATCAGGGTAGGACAGTTTTGTGGTACAACAACCAGCTTTGGAAACTGGGTATAAATCCCAACGTGTTACTCATTAGCTGTGTAAACTTGAGAAAGTTACTTAGCCTCTCTGAATCTCAGTTTTACATATGTATGCAGATAATTACACACTTATACCATAGGTTTTCTGAAAACATTAATGTATGAAAGTACTGAGCAGGGTAGCCAGTGTTATTTTTCTGTGTAACTTCTATTTACATTGTGTGTGGCATGAAGGATAAGTGTCCCCAAATAATGTATTTAATGAATTAACTTTGGAATAGTATCTCATATGCAAGTTTTTAGTATGTAGAAGAGTGCTTCTAAAACTGTAATGTGTGCACAAATTACCTGGGAGGACTTACTAAAATGAGGTTTCTAATACAACAGGTCTCCAAGAAATTGATAGTTTTGGTTGGCTTTATGAAGGGAAGTTGGAGGCAAAGAGTGACAGAGGGACTAAGTATCCTTGTGTATTTTTAAAATGTTAATCATATAGGTAGATACTATTTAATAGTTATTTTTAAAAATGAAGCTACTTTGGGGAACTAAAAGAGTCTATAGTGAAGAAAATTAAGCAAAATTGACTAATGCATGTAAAAATTCCACCAATAATGTATTTAAACAGCCCAGAGTGCAATTACATAAGCCAAACAAAAGTAAATGATTTCTCAAGACCAGGAAAAAAGAATCTAGTGGCAGAGCAAGACCACAAACCAGGTCTTTCGTGATTTAAATCCTCGATGAACTTGGACCTTCAACTCAAGAACAAATTAGAGGGTGCCTAACCCATGCACTAAAAAGATGAGAGTGAATCTGTGCTAACTGATAAATAATGAAGATGATTAAAGAGTAGCAGTTTGAAACAAAGCTCCAAGCTCATTCTTGAATGTTTCACAGTTCAAACCTATCAAAAAATCCAGCATGGACCATGGAGGACTCATCAGTAAAGATAATCCTCTCAGCCAGCCCACTACTGAGTTTTCAATGCCTCTTGCCAGTAGGAAAATGATGCTGTGGCCAGGATTGGGTAAACCTCAGGCGGGGCCTCTACTACGTGGTAGGGCTTACCAGGTAGGCAAAGTGCTGATGAAATGTAGCAATTATCCTGTACAACGTACCACTTACTGCAAATTTTCCAATTAGTACTCCCTAAACCTTTCTGTTTTAGGATAGATAAGTCTAGGAAAGGTCACTTACTTCTTTCGGTCTCTGATCCCAGTGAAGATGAGCACGCCGATACCAATCACTACCACTCCCATCACAACTCCAAAAATAATCAGCCATATGCTGACAGGTGGTTGGTAAGGGGGTCCTAGTGTAGGCTGAACACCCAGAAACTCCAGGGTGTTGTCATCCAGGCGAAAAGCATCATTGATACGACTCCGGGACATCCTATTCCCAAAAGTAAAACACTTAGACAAAAGGAACATTCAGGCGAAATAAAATGGCGTGCAATTATTTACTCCTTATCACATGTGTCAAACACAAGGCCTGCGGGCCAAATCCGTCCCGCCAGGCCTTGCAATGTGGCCCACACCGCGCTGTCATCACTGCACTCCGCTGCGTTTCCATCACAATGACAGTTTATGACTGTTCAGTAAACCTTTCGGCCCACGATTTAGGCTGGATTTTAGATTTTGGCCCCTTCTCTGATTGAGTTCGACACCCCCATGTCATTGTTCATGAAAGGTTTTGATAAGGCCTATCCTAAGAATGTACACCTTAAATAGCCATGAAATCAAAGTATATCACTAGGTCCAAGGAATGATATGTTTTAACAATTATGCACCTTTAATATCTTGCAATCTGGATTAGGTTTGGCAACAGCTTCATCGGATAATGGGTTGCAAGTGTGGAAACATGCAAATGGCTGGCATTTGTTCATTTGTGATGACTATGTTGCAAAGGCAAAGTTAGTATATTTAGCAAGAATTTCCTTTCTATCAGGGTATATCTACAATGACTTAATGTCAAACAATGAAAAAGGACAATGTGAATGCACCTCTTCTATAAATGAATAAGGTCCTGTACCCAGTTGTATTTTCCAAATAAAAGGTGTTGACATTTGGAAGAGGCACTGGGCAGGGACACGGGAAAAGGGCCTTTGCCAATTTCTCCAGCACAGGGATGGGACATGGCTGAATTTTATAGATTTTTTTTTAAAGGATGAAAATTCTTTTAAAAGCAAAACAACAAAATAGTGAAATAGATAATATTCTGGATCAAAAGCCAAAGTGTCTGGCACCTCATCGTCCTACCCAGGGAAATACAGTGCTCAAAGCAGAATTAGTCATGTAACCCTTGGCAACCTTAGCCTGAAAGTGTCTCAAGCCATTCTGGAAATAGAAAGTCTGAGGTCCCCTGCAGCTTACAGGGGGGCTGGGCTCTTTCATTTCTTTCTCAGTCTCTGGTCTGGTTGGGTTGTACCCCCACCTACGCCAGATTTTCTCTGCACCTACACTGCCCAGCAGGTCTTAGTTCTGCTTCCAAAGATGAACAGCAGCTCAAGAGGGCCATCTAGTGTGCTTCGCCCTAGCAGGCTTTCCTAAGCCTTTTTTTTTTTTTAATTTTATTGTTTAAAGTATTACAAATAGTACTACACATGTCTCCTTCCCCCCGCCATTGACCTTTCCCCAGTCTCCCCTATCCCCTCCCCCCCACCCCCCCGCACATGCCCTCACCACCACCCCCAAAGTGTCTTGTGTCCATTGGTTATGTGGTTATGCTTATATGCATGCATACAAGTCCTTCGATTGATCTCTTACCGCCCCTTCTCCTCCCCCCCCCCCCCCGCAACACTCTCCAGTATTATGCTAAGTGAAATAAGCCAGAAAGAAAAACACTACATGATCTCACTCACTTGTGGATAATAAAGAACATTATAACCTGGTGAACAAAAAGATAGATACAAAGGCAGAGAAGCATCAAACAGACTGTCAAATATCCTAAGCCTTTTTAAAAAATATATACATTTTATTGATTTTTTTTTTTTACAGAGAGGAAAGGAGAGGGGTAGAGAGCTAGAAACGTCCATGAGAGAGAAACATCGACCAGCTAGAGAGAAACATGGGTCAGCTGCCTCCTGCAAACTCCCCCTACTGGGGATGTGCCTTCAACCAAAGTACATGCCCTTGACTGGAATCGAACCTGGGACCTTTCAGTCCACAGACCAACGCTCTACTGCTGAGCCAAACCGGTTTCGGCCTAAGCCTTTTTTTAAAAAAATATACATTTATTTGAGATCACCTCCCAAACAAACTACTTCCACTCAAATCCTTGTCTAAGGGCCTGCATCTGGAGGAACTCAAATCAAAATAATTCCCTTGCTAGGAGATCCTTCTGGAATAAAAGCCCAAATTTTAAGATGAAGTAAAACAGCTGATGTGGCTCAGTCATTTAGCATCGGCCCATGAATAAAGAAGTCCCCCATTTGATTCCCAGTCAGGGCACATGCCCAGGTTCTGGGCTCAATCCCCAGTGAGGAGGGTGTGCAGGAAGCAGCCAATCAATGTTTCTATCTCTGCATCCCTCTCACTCTCTAAAATCAATAAAAACGTATTTCTTAAAAAGATGAGATAAAATATGTAAATTACTCAGACCAATGCCTGGCACACAGTAAGAGCATACTCAATGTTAGTTATGGTTATTGTTGCATTTGTTAACCCCCTCGACCTTATAGTTTGAAAGTAAAATATCACCTGATGGCATCTTCAACTTCACTTCTAGGAATGATGTCAGATATATTTGTAGGTGAAGTGACAAAGAACTTGAAGGAGACTCTTTTTTTCTCATCACTCACCCTCACATCCTCTGCCCTGTGGAGAAACAAAAGAAACATCTTCCTTTGTAACACAGAGAACACAATGAATAGAATGAAGACTTCCACTGGTGAAAAGGAGATTGGTAGGGGACCATAGGGTTAAGTAGAGAAATATGGGTCAGGGCAAACAATAGGACAAACCCTCTCTCTCTCTCTCTCTCTCTCTCTCTCTCACACACACACACACACACACACACACACACACACACACACAATATATATATCCATTAGAATACAAGTTTTGTGAAGGGAGGTTTATGCCTTTTTCTTTCAGTGTTGAGGGTACTGTGAGCATTTAGGGGAGGGAAGAGGATAGGAAAAAAGAAGAGAGTAGGGAAGGGAAGAGGAGGGGATTGAAAGGGAGAGGAAACGGTGTTTAATAAGAACAATACTTTTGCAATCTGCAAGTCAAACGAGTCACAGTTCTGCAAATAGAATGGCACACATAATAGGCTATAAAAGAAGTCTTAAAAAGTTGTCAGGAGGATTTTCTTAATTTCACTTGAATAAAAGGTTAAACAAAATTATCTCCTCAGACCCAAGAATGAGGGGAGTACTAGTTGGAATAACTTGAAAGCACAGCAAATGAACTCACCTAAAAGGAATCGTCTTGTTCATTTTCGAAAAATACACTCTCATGGCATATGCAACCGATGACCGGAACAAGTACATTTCATTGTCATTCCATTCATACTGCGAATTCAAAAGAAAACACTGCTCAGTAGGGATCATAGCATACATGCAAGGCTTGATAGCCCACAAGCATTACTTTTAAATTTCCTGATATTCCAAAGATTCTTGTTATTCATTAAGTCAGTGACCTTTCATTTGAGTGTGCATCAGCATCATCTGGAATCCTAGTTCAAACATGGCATACTGAGCCCCACCCTCAAAGTTGTATCTCTAACAAGTTCCCGGATGATACTGATGCTGCTGGTCAGGCAACCACACTTTAAAAACCACCAGGTTCACTGATTCTTTAACATCAGTTTCCTGTAACATGAAATAAACACTCTGAAGGTAGGCTTATAGACATGAGTCATGCAAGTCGTGGGTTTTGGTTAAATGTCCGTAATTATACACAAGTACGATTTATTATTTTATAGTAAGTTCTCAAATATGTGTAGTGCAAAATAAAATAAAAATGAGATTCAAGGGAAAAATAATTCTATAAACAAGGTAATTTTTTCTTTTCAGTGCTAAAAAAAAATATCTTGTGTATTTGCATAGTCTATGAAAACTAATTACAACAGAAAAATGTATTCACTCTTGCCTCCAGTAGTTGGCAGTAGAGATTAATGAATGGTACAAATTTTGCATCTGCCCTTTCTCTTTTAAGAAAAACATTTACAAGATTTCACAAAAGAACTGTTATATTAGCTTGTTTGATATCACTCGAGTTCTGGAAAAGGTTGCTTTAATAGTAATAACATTATTAATATTTACTACTAACAATATTCTGGTTACTATTTCTATATTTGTTAAAATTTATTTGTATAGATAAAAGTATTACAGATGTCCCCTCCCTCTTCTCCTCCCATTGACCTCTCCACCCTGCTTCGGCCCCCTCCCCAGGCCTTCATCCCACAATTTTGTCTGTGTGTGTGTATACATATAAGTTCTTTGGTAAAAAGGATGATTTCTCAAAAGATCCTATTAAACTTTGCCATGAAATAGCTTGAGTTGGACAGACATTCTAACCCTGATGTGCAGTAGATATGCTAGAAGTATAATTCTGGTCTCATCAGAAGAGCTGTTTGCTCAGTGAATCAGCCTCAGAATGTTCAAACCAATCCCTCAATGCATGGAAAGAGCACATGAGACAAATGTTAAGGGGGGAAAAAGATAATTGGAAAGGAACCTGACCTGCAGGATACTTTAAAGTGATTAAAATCTATGAGGTCAATGGAGAGTTAATAATGCAAGACAGAGAAAGAATCCCAAGGATAAGAAATGGGTAGTGTATCTTTTAGGGTTTGGGGAGTGATGTATCTCCATTTTTATTATTTCTTTTTTAAATGTTCAGTTTCACTCCTACTATGTTGCTTATATTCAGATGTCTATTGAAAATTGTGCTACAACAAATGTGGAATCTTGGATAATATTTAACTTCCCAGGAAAAGTAAGGGAATAGAAATGCAATCTTTGGATCTATCCAGTGCAAATAACATTTTACTATAGCACCTTGGATTGTTTTATCCAAGAGTCCCAGATTATTCTCTAATCCTGCAGAACCTTCAGGGTGCCATGCCCCAACCCAGTCCTTTGATTCCCATCTGTCTGAGACAACATTTTTCCCTTTCCCAATCAAAGACACTACTTCTTCAGACCAGATAACGTGAGACAGTGTTGAGAAGAAAGCACAAGCTGATTAAACTAATTCACATGAGGGTGTAAGTAATATTATTTTCTGTAAAACACTTTGTTATCCAAAAATGCATCTCTACAACCGTGGTTCTCCAAATTTGGAGAACCACGGTTGTAGAGATGCATTTTTGGATATGATAATTAGTTTTATCAAAATCACCTGGGGAGCTTTCAAAACACTTGATGCCCAACTCTTGATGCCACACCCCGGAACAGTTAAGTCAAAATCCCTGGGAGCGGGACTCAAACATTCATATTTTTAAGACATTCCATATGACTCCAGTGTCCAGCCAGGTTGGAGAAACAGTGTTCTAAATCAGAGTGTCCCAGTCTCTATTGTGTTTACAAATGACCCGGAGGTTTGTTCAAATGCAGTTTCTGAATAGTCAGGTCCAGGGCTGGGGCCTAAGATTCTGCATTTTTAACACACCTCTAGGATATAGATGATTGAATAAAATAAAGCAAAGCAGAGCTCCCCGCATTACTTCTAAAAACAAACAATCTCTCAAAATATAATGATGTTCTCTTCCTCAAATACAAGTAATAATGATAACAGTAAATTGTAAGGGTGGGTATTTGATACTTAAGTTTAAGTTCTCATTGATCTTCATAACACCTTCAAGGTAACAAGGAAAAAGTAGACATAGCCAATCCAATAAGGAATGTGTTACTGAAGGTAAATAAACAAAAGCCAAAGGCCAGAATTGGGGACTTGCAGTTCCTAAGAAACCATGTGGGTGCTCATCTTTTAGACCCCGCTGGAATAGGCTTATTGTGTTATTGTGTCCTACTTAAGGGAGTACTCTGAAAGGTCAAGGACGCACTGCCCAGAATACTCACTGCTTTTTCTCCAAGAGCTGATATTAGGCTTATCCTCACTTTAATGCTTTGCTCAGAATCTGATTAAAGAGAAATCACAGCGTTACTACATATGACAGGTTGACCATGTGTGTTTATTTCCTTCCCCTCCTAAAATCCCATTAAAATGATAGTAAGTGAATTTTAAGAGAGATACAAACACACTTTTGGAAAATGAGAAGTAATGGAGGAGTGGTGAGTGCTTTCTCAAGGGTCAGGAAGCCGTGGCCTAATTTGTACGCAGAGGCAGTGCAGACCTCAAAAGTCCCAGAGAATCCCAGCGAGGCTTGGGATTGAGGCACAGATGGGGGTGGAGAGAAGATACAAACTATTTCGATATATCAGATATTCTTTTCAATTCCATCTTTTTGCTGCTTTTCTGGGTTGAATTCACTGCTTTCTGGATTCTGTCTTCTTTCTTGAATTAACTTTTTTATGGCAATTACTTTTATCTTTCTAAACAATTTATTTATCTTATTATTTCTCTATTGGCCAATTTTAGACATACACTTCTGCCTACTCTTCCACCTCCTTTTATCACCAAAAGCCACAAAATAAAAGATATATTGTAAAATAGTATATTACTTGGCTCTGCAGACATAATGATATAAATATTGGTAATTTCTTTATTAAAAATCATTATTAAGCTTTATTGTCTTTGAAGAGTAGGACTTGAGTAGAGTGGGTTTGGGGCTGTTGTACTCCTTTATTTTAAATATTAGGCTAACAAACCAGGAGGAGGGGTAGTTTGGGGCCAGAGAAAACTAGGGGAAGCAGAGAGGGAGGGATTTGAAATGTGTCAACTCAGTAAACTCACATGGACTCCAGTCGGCGGACCATCCCACAGAATTCCCATTCTGCTCTTTCAGCCAGCTAAACAAAGGCTCAAAATAGTTGAGCAGTGGTTTTGCATCCATTTCTTTTGTTCCTGCAATCTGTTCCAGTGCGAGGGTCCAGGGTTTTGATTTTCCAAGTTCCAGCATATCTCTACATGAAAAAATGGGGCAGGGTAAGTTCAGGGCCTTTTGAGGGCTTTCAGGTGTACATATATTTACATGTATGATCTATGGTTTCTCCTCTTTGGCTTATGTAAGTTTGCTCCTGGCAGATAAGAAAATAAGACATGTTAATAGGTATGTTTATCCTTCAATCTCTTCTCCTTTTTGATCACTACCAAGGGAACTCTGTAGTACTGACATGGAGAAAGGAGGTGGCCTGTCCAGCCATCACATGGTCTAGGTTCCCGTAGGACCCCAAAATAAACATTTAATTAATGGATGAGCAAATTTTGAGGCCAAATTTTTTTCTTTTTAGACAAAAGAAATCAAAGTTAAACAGCCATAGGTGTTGAAATGAGAATTTTGGATAGTATGAAAGGTTCAACATTTTGAAGCATTTCTTACTTCAGCTTCTTCCCAGCTTCAGTGGAATTTGAGATATCACATTTATGCAGGGGACCTTGATGTTTAGCTATCTTACAGAGGGCTTCTTGAAACTGGAATTCAAGAATGGTCCTTGTGAAATAACTGTAAAGGAGACAAAGAAAATAAGCAGGCTCGTGTTTAGTTACTATGATAAAGTCATAGATTGAGACATATATATTTAAATTCTGAGGCCCTAGTAATCAAAGAGATACTTATTAAACCTCTTTCTCCAGAAAGACCCAAACATGAACCCTTACAGATTCACCATAACCTGCATGCATTTCTGTATAAGCTGATAAAGAGGCAGTAGTTTTGTTAAATGCTAGATCACATTTGTATTGTGTTTTACAGATAAATAGCTCTTTCTCATATAAATGATACCAATCAGTCCTTACGGCAGGTCAATAATATTATTTCCTCTGTACAAATAAAGAGACTGAGGCTCAGCAAATTCAAATCTGGGGCTAATTGGTGAAGAACGTAGGTTTTTGCACTTCATGTTAAAAATGGTCTTTCTATTACAATCACTCTGAACTCTGCCAGTAACAACAGACCAACAAAAATACTTTTCTGTTTTTATCTCCAGGTACCATAAATTCCTTGATAGAAGAGAAAAGATCTCAAACAGTTTTATTTAACCCAATAAATTGTGTTGAGTTAAATTGAATGGAAATTCATAATCTATTTTGAGGTTTGGGAGGGGGGGAGTGGATGGAGATGGAAAGAAAAATTATAGCCTTTGCTTAATAGATCCCTATTTATCTGCCATTAGCACAGCTGTCCACAAACCCTACTAGTTAAACAATGAAGAGAAAGTATACGTTACCGGATAAATGAGTAATCATTAGCAACATGGAACAGAGATGCGGGGTCACAGTATGTTTCATCATGGGGCAGAGGTTCCACCACTCCGACTATTTCTCGCCTTTGGGGGGTGGAAAGAAGATATATTAGCTGTGGCTCACTCACTATGACGAGGTACAGTTGGGTGCAGTTAGTGCAGTTTCATCAGCCAATGGTATTTATACTATAATTGGTTGTCAGGTGAAATAGAAACCATGCCAAAAATGACAGACTACAGCCTATTATGTAGTTATCTCTTCCTTTTATTTAATTCAGCCAGACTATACCATTAGAAAATAACTATGTCTTCAAAACACTGATTTAATAAAGTGTATTGCATGGCCTAAAACAATCAGTGAAAGTCCTAATAATTTACCTCTGGCACCACGGTTTATGTACACACAGAATTTTATAAAGTTGAAATCTTACTTGTTCTTCAAGGCTAGTTCAAATGGCCCTTTCTTAAGAGGCCTGCCCAGTGTTTCCTCTACCCAACTGGCAGCACAGTGAACCCCCTTTTCCTCTTTCCTTCCTTCTGTCCTCCCCTCCTTCCTTCTCTCCCTCCTTTCTTTTCTGTCTTTTATAATTTTTTATCCAAAGCCCATTTATTTCATATCTGCATGTGTCGGGCGCCATGCAAAGCACTTGAGAAACAGGGATAAATAATGTAGTGCTGAAACTATTGAAAGGAATCACTATCTGTTGCCCCAATGTGCCAGGCTCTCTTCAGCTTGGAGTTCTTTCTGTTTCCCTCTACATACACATGGTTAACTCCTGCACCTTTCTCAGAGTTCAATTTGGGTGCCTCCCCTCATCTGACCTATCAGACTGGGCCTTGGAGCACCACTTGGCTGCTCATGGATCCCCATTTCTTCCCATCACAATACAACATGTTGCAGTAATTTCATTCTCCACATCTCTTCATAAACTAAAGTGCTTTGAAGTCAAGAATAATATCTGGAATGATCAGCATTAGGTCCCCAGGGCTTGGCCTAAAATGAAGAGTTGATCTTTTTGTTTAAAAGAATGAATATAATGAATAAATTGATCACTTCCTAAATAACATCACAGTTTCATAGGTGACCAAACACCAAAGAAGACAGTGCAAGAAGTTGTGTCACCTGGTCCTGCCTGGGTGGGAGGCAGAGCCAAAACACATGTATCTGAGGAGAGGGCACCCAAATAAAGACTTTGAAAAATAGAAGAAGTTCTTGTGTTGTGGTAGTAATGGTGATGGTGTGTGTGTGTGTGTGTGTGTGTGTGTGTGTGTGTGTGTGTGTGTGTAGTGATGGCATTCCCTAGCCCAAATGCACTTCTCTCTCATTTCCACGCATTTAGCCCCACCTCAGCATATTTTAAGATTTAACTGTTGAAATCCAAGTTATTTTGAACCCCAATCCTAGTTGTTTTAGATTGCGTTATCACAGAAGCAGACCCTGAGACAAGCTTCTGATAAACATTAGCAAAGGACTGAGGAAGTGAGACAGGGAAATAAAGGCCGCCCTTAGAAGATGTATTATCAAGCAAGTCACCAGTCAAACACTTTTCAATAAACAGAAAACTTATGAGAAAACATTTTACTGATTGCCATTGACATTCATTGACTTACTTCATCTCCCACCACTTTTCCATCCACTGCTCTTTAGGAATTTTACCCTCAAAGACCATCCACCTCCACTTTTCTAACATGTAAGTGAATGGTAGAGTTCCAACAATATTAAGTGCTTGTTTGAGTAGGAAGTTTTTTTCTGTTTCTGAAAGGAAAACAGAAAAGGGTAAATATTTAAGGGAGGATGACAGTAGATGTTTTGTGTTGGCTAATTTCCTAACCTCAAAATATTCCTCAGGATATACTTACTATAAGGTTGATTACATGAGAAATATTAACAGTGGACATAATATGTACATATTCATTTTCTCACCTAAGGAATTTAGAGTGAAATCTTGGATAGAACAGAAAAGATAAACCCACCAGTAACTCCTAATCCTCATTTTTTTATTAGCTTCAATTGCCTTCCTTTAATACCTGTGATCAGAGATAAAGCTGTTTCATCTATTTTACCAGTCATACTATTTATTTTCTGTAAGTTCCATAAAGGAAGACTGTATATCAGGGGTGAAGAATCTTTTTCTGCCAAGGGACATTTGGATATTTATAACATCATTTGCTTAATATAATTCACTTAATATAAATTTATATTGCCATAAGAAAAGCTCCTAGATCTATTGAATTTCGGCTCCTACCCTGGCAGGGCCAGACCAGATGATTCTGAAGGCCTTACACAGAACTCGGGCTGGATGTTCCCCAATCCAGCATCTAGCCTGGTGTTTGCTACATGATGCATTCTGTGTCTTTGTTAAGTAAACAAATAATAAACAAAGGAGGCAAAAAGCCAGTAAACCAGGCAATAAAACAAACAAACAAACAAGAACCTCTTTTAACCATCTATTGGATAATCAGAAGTACAATATTCTTTAAATGTACTGACATTTTCCTTACCTGAGTTTAAAATGCTTTAATAAATTGTTATTTATCCTTTATTAGTGATATAAAAAGGCAGTAGAGCTCACTCCAACGTGCAAATGAAGCTTACTGAAATGTAACCAGGGGAATATTATCTATTTGTCACACCAGTCTATCTCTAGTGTCTAGAAATATGCCTTGTACATAGTATTTGCTCAATAAATATTTTTGGAAGAAGAAATGGAGGGGGGAAAAAGAATAAAGGAACTTAATTGTTTAACATCATTCACCAATCAGAGCAGAACCAATAAAAGAGTTTTTCAAACAAGTGGTTTAACCATATTTAGTACTGTCTTTGTGATTCAACTATCGTTTCCTGCTGTCAGGGAATATTTTTTAATGATAAAACAAATAATTGTCTATTAGTTGACTGGAGGATGATATTTTAAAATTGGGAACAGGTGTGGTTATTGTGAACCCCTTTCGTTTGTTGTTCCCTTCATGGAAGGATGCTGCTACTCGTCCACTACCCACTGGACCTTCTTATAGTAACTTTTCCAGACATGCTGATGGCTTTACACTGACCTACTCTCACGTTCTCTTGAGATCAGTAAGGTCTAGAGCTAGAAGTCAAGGCAAAGTGAATTGCCCACACAAGAATGGAGCTTGTGACCTTGACCTTATTGACCAAACCGTCCAACTGGCAGAGCTCATATTTATGTATCAAATAACTAAGAGGACAGAAATACTCAAAAGAGAATAGTAATATATTTGGCTCTAAGTGTCCTTCTTTTACAAAGAAGAATAAAAAGGCATGGCATCCTCACTGAAGAATTTGAATATTGTGAACATTTGTCATGTTCTATCAAGTCTAAGCCATCCAAAGACAAACATGCTACCTTAAGCAAATTTGTTGAAAAATAGCATGGATCTGTGCCGGGACCGGTTTGGCTCAATGGATAGAGCGTCGGCTTGGGGACTGAAAGGTCCCGGGTTCGATTCCGGTCAAAGGCATGTACCTTGGTTGCGGGCATATCCCCAGTGGGGGGGGGGGGGTGCAAGAGGCAGCTGATCGATGACTCTCTCTCATCGATGTTTCTAACTCTCTATCTCTCTCCCTTCCTCTCTGTATAAAATCAATAAAATATATTTAATAAAAAAGAAAAAGAAAAATAGCATGGATCTGAAGAGATGTTACAGGGGCAGATTTATGCTTCCTGCAGATAAGCAAAACATTTCAGTCCTTTCCAATCATGATTTTCCACCACCTGTTCTTTAAGAACTCCCAAATTTCAAATTATCATTTACTTAACATAATATGGTGGGGAAATCTTTAGATTAGGGCTCTGGGTCTGGTTTAGCCACGTTGCTTTTTGACCTTGGGTTGGTTACTTTCCCTCTCATCTTCAGTTTGCTTCTTCTGCGAAATGGTTTTTAGAATCTGTTTCCTCTAACATTTTGGGAAGGTTGTATCTAGAACCAGAAGGATCTGGTCAGAACTCTAACCCTAATTAGCTAGGTGACCTTGGATAAATCATTTATGATCTGTGGGCCTGTTTTAACTGTTTAAAAATATCTTGTTAGCTGTTTCTTAGAGTCCCAAGACTATTCATTCAGTTACCTCTCTTATGCCCTCTTCAAAGATACAAAACCACAAATTGGCATGTCGTGATAAATACTCATTTTTTTTTACAAGTAGCAATTTCTAGTTACCCATAAATACCTTATATTTTATGTGGAAAAGTTAAATATATCCCATGCGTGATAATAAACATCTTTCCCCACATCAAACTAAAGAACCCACCAAACAAGCCATGAAAAAAATGTCTATACCAAGGTCTTCAGAAAAATCAGACGGCAGAAGACCCATCCCTTTCAAATGCTTGGGTGTAGCTACAGAAAGTGACATGACTTCCCCAACAGCTTCATGAAATCCTTCATTAGCTCCATTTCTTAGTAGGTAGGGTTGTTTGGCATATGCCATGTCATACTGGATGTGTCCCATCTCATGATGGGCTGTCAGGAAGTCATCCATTGTCACCTTTGTGCACATCTTGATCCTGTACATAAATGGACAAGATTAAAATGCATCTCATTGAGTTTCATTTAATCATCACAGTAGAGCTGGATAGGATTTTGGTAGCAAGATTCATTCACCAGTGAATCTTGAGGATCTACCTTTTAGGTCATAGGAACTACGCTAAGTGCTGAATATATAGTGCTGGGCAGGATTGAATGCTGTTCTCCTGGTCATAGGCTAACAGGAAGAAAAACAAGCAGTTCTCTACTACAATAAACTGAGATAAGTACTCCGTAAGTGGTCAGTAGGCATGGTTTGGGCCATAACAATGAGTGAATACAGGCACAGTGTTCTAGAAGCACCAAGAAGGGCATAACTGAGGATGCAATGAGCATTCTGGACCTTGATCAGCATGCAGAAGTTTGCAGGTAGATGGCAGGGAGCGACAAGAGGTTGACATTCCTGGAGGTGCTCAGTAAGAAAAGCTTAAGAAAAAAATGCCATTCAGAACACTGCAAGCAGTTTGGTATAGTCAGAATAGTAAAGTAGTAGGAGAAGGGGTTGGAAATTGTTAGTTTGGAATACTAAGCTTGTAAGTCCAGGAAGCAGGTATAGGTAGAGTAGCAAGAAAAGGAGAGCCAAAGACAAGGTCCTAGGAGTTCTCAGTATGTACGGAGTGCAGAGATGAAGGTTCTTCAAAGGAGTTGGGGAGAGAAGTCAAATAAGTCCAGAAGAGGATGACAATGCAGAGGACAATGAAAAACAGCATTTTAAAGACAATTTGTAAATATTATCTAATGTTGTTGTGGCCCAATGAAATAAGGACCGCATGTGGCAATTATGTAGTGGTTCTTTTCAACTTGGCAATAGCAATTTCATTCAGGTGAATGTAGGGGGGGGGGGTCATATTTCAGTAGGTTCCAAAATTAATTTCCCTTCTACCACTCTGACCATATCATCTCCCTGATAAATACCCTTTGGACTCCCCACTGCTTAAGAATACACTCAACCTTCTTTATATACCCCAACATAACCTAATTTTCTAACTTGGTTATTTTCCATTCTCTTTTAAAACATGGGAATAGCTACTATATATATAATGTCTACTGTATGTAAGATCCTGTGCTAGAAAACTTATGTATACTTACATTTAGCCTCACTCTAGTACTGGAGCCAGTAAATTATGGTCTGAGGCTGAACATCTGTTTTGATAAAAAGGTTGTATTGGCACACAACCACACTAGTTACCTGGAGCTATTGTCATGCTAAGTAGTTGCAACAGAGACCTGCAAAACGTAAACTATTTACTATTTGAGTCTTTATAGAAAAGGATTGCCAACTGCCACTCTAGTGGATTCTGCTGGGTTCCTGCCCAGATCTATTTTACCACGCACATCCACCCATCTTCCGGTTGCCTGAGGCATAGCCCTTAACAGCCTATAGCTGCTTTCTTCTTCACTGTTTCTGGCTAAATGTGAGGTGCCTCAGCCAGGAGTTTATGCCCCCCTCCCCCACTCAGGCAGTCCACAGTCAATGAGTGACTAATATGAGAGTACAACTTGTTCGTTACATACACCTTGTCTCAAGATATGACCTCCAACTCAGGTACAAATCACGCTCCAGAGAGCCCTGTGGGATGAGGCTGAGGCAAGGCTCCAGCTGAGACCACATCTTTACTTAAATCCTTCTCCAGCCCCCTCTCAACTTCCTTCACTCCCCTTTGCCTGAGAGCTTTCCCTCAATGCAGCTTATTTCAAGCTAGGGAATTCAGCCTAAAACACTCACAAACCTGCCAACTGTGAATTACTGTTCCATTTTATACATAAGGAAACAAATCCAAGAAGGTTAAATACCTTGCCCAGGGTGGCACAGCCATTAAGTGGCACTTGCGATTCAAAAGCCTGTCCTATCACACAGAACCTTCTTCAGAGGCCCTTTATTCTAGTCTAATTTGCTGATATCAGGACACAATGCCAGGCCCTGCCACTCTGCATTTAATCTACTGTACTCCTCCCAGCTCTGTCTGTCTGAATGCTTCCTGTCTTTCAAGCCTAATTCAAATGCCACTTGAGAAGCCCTGTCTGAACCTACATGCTATGCCAGGTGTGGTCAGTTCTCTTCCAATTCCCCCATGGAGTGGTATCAGTTTCTCTTAAGACATATACCACTTTCTTTTATTCTAGCTTATTTATTCACCTGTCCTGTCTCACTAACATGGAGGGGAAGACCAATGCCTGATTCACACCTCCACCTTCCATAAATCTTACCACCAGGACTTTCATCATAGGGGCACCACTATACCCATAACCATGCAATTCTAATGGGTGCATATTATTTCAAATGAGACAAATTGTCTAAAGGTTCAAGTTAGGGCCTGCTGACAATCCCCTTTTCCTGGAAAAACCCAGATGTACTCTCATGGACTCCCAGCTTTCGTTAAAGGGAAGTTCATTCATCTCTTCTGTGCTCAGAGAAGCAGAGCAGGAATCTAAATTCATCTTTTTTCCATGCCTCCCATGTCTCCCATGTCAGTATCAGCTGTATATCAGCCTCCCTACCTGAAGTCGTCCTTCCCCAGGTCCCAAGCTGTGGGGTGGCAGACCACTTGCCGGCCATCGCTTGGCTCAGTTAGCATGGATTTATTCCAGAATCCTGGAGTCATATTACGAAGTCCAACAGACAAATAGAACTTCTCAGCCTCCTTGAATATCTTATCTGCATCCCAGGACTGAAAAAAAAAAGAACAGCATTTAATTCTAGCATTAAAACAACAGCATTCTTTCTGTTGGATATGTAGATAGGCATAACCTTTCTGGAGGGCAATTTAGCATCATGAATGAACAATTTTCAAAGTATTTATACTCTTTGTTTCAGTAATCCTGTCTCTAGAGAACTAACCTGGGAATTTCTCAGAAATTGGGTCAAAGAATTAAATTAAAACTGATATTTTGTTTATTATTGTTTTAAATTGAAAAATAGGTGACATATAACATTGTGTAAATTTAAGGTGTACAACATGTAAAATGGTTTTTAATAAGGAAAAATGGAAATAACCACTAAAATGATTAAGTAAATAATTACGACATTGTGAAATGGAAAATATAATAAATTAGTAAGTGAAAAGTAGAATATGTAAACCATTTATATAGTATAATACATAATCTTGATGAGGAAATGCACAAAAATATTCATAGACTGGGTGACATTATATGTGATGTATTTTTGTCTTTATTCTTTATATTCCAAGTATAACAGAAACAACAACAACCTCTTTGATAAAAACTATTTAACTCAAACCAACAACCACTGATTGAGCTCCTTCAAGGAGTAAGCCCTTGGTACTAGGCTCAGTGAAAGACATAGACAGTAGGTGGACATGAAGTCAGGGGCTTTTGGAACCAAAAAGGCCGATGTGTGACCCAATAGCCAATGTGTAGTTGGGCATTGGCTTTATAGTCTGTATGGGAATCTAAACTTTAGAATATTCTGGAATCAGACACAGGCAGCAGTAGCTATCTCCCATCCAAAAAAACTCTTCTGGGAACCAGTGTCCCTAGAGCTAACACTTCTTTGGAGATAAGGTCCACATCAGGCAAACTAAATTTGTGTAATCAGCATATGCTTCATGAATCACTTCTGGTGACACAGAAAATTTCTTCTGATCTCAAAGACCAGTGAAGTCTGGTTTTTCTTCTATGTCAACCCTGGGGATATGAAACAGGATATGACACTATGGCTTTTTAAAATTATTGACCTATAAGACTTAATATCAGCCAATACTGATTTTAAGCAAGGCATTCTTGAACAGAATGAATGAATACCAAAACAGTGTAGACTAGTAGGAACAGTTAACATCTGTTAAATAAAGAATGAATGAATAGAAAACTACACTGGAAATATTAGGAGCTCTGAGTTCATACCTTAGTTGCCACTGACTCCTTTTTACTTTAGCAAATCATTTACCCGAGCCTCTGTTTTCTTGACTACAATATAGAACTATCAATATATATATATATTTATCACAATACCTGTTCTGATCATCCCAGAGGTTTACTGTAAAGGTAACATTAGGAGATATGGTGGGTGTAAAAACACTGTAGACAAGCTAAGGGGATAACATAAAGATAGGCCTCTGCTACTGCTCAACTATAAAATAAAAACAGTTTCATGTTTTTATTCAGCTGTGGACTTTTCCCAGGAGCATGGGAAGTATGTTATATATGAGAAAATGTTCATTGCTTACAGATTTGCTTACAGATTTAAAATTATTTTACTGATTTTTTACAGAGAGGAGGGGAGAGAGCTAGAGAGCCAGAAACGTCGATGAGAGAGAAACATCGACCATCGACCTACTGGGGATGTGCCCGCAGCCAGCGTACATGCCCTTGACCGGAATCGAACCTGGGACCTTTCAGTCCGCAGACCAATGCTCTACCACTGAGCCAAACTGGTTTCAGCAGATTTAAAATTATTAATAAGCAAAAAAGTCCAGCAATATCTAAAATGTAAGTTATGGTGCAACTATCTGAAGAAATTTTACACAGCCAATAGAAGTATGACTATGAATTCTACCCAGAAATGTAGACGATTATTTGAATTTAATAATATATTATAATGTCATCAATATAAGGGAACACAAAGAAGTTAAACAATTATACCAAAATGGTAACAGAAAGGTAATTTTAAAATTATTTTAAATACTCTTGCAATATTTTAATAATAAATTTTAAGTATGCAAAAATTATCTAATGATGTCCTATTTTTTTCATTGAGATTATTAACTGATTGCTTAGTAATGACTAACTTTGGAAAGAGTGTGGCCAGACAGTTGATAATTACACATGTCACTGTTTAATGGAAAACTTAGGTCCTCTTCATTTTTAATATCTCTCAGTGAGATCAATACCCTACCTATTATTCAAGGTACTTGATGCCATTGAAATTGTAAACCACTTTTCCATGAAGAGATAGCTACATGAGGAATACATTTAACTAGCTTGAAATTTTTTTATTTATATAGTTTCATAGAACAATTAGCATCTGTTAGCTAGAAGAGAAAGATAGCCTAAAAAGAAATGAAGTGAAGGATTGAGATGTTATTTCCAAGGTCTCTTCTTCTTACCTGTTTCTTCATTGTTTCAGTAACATCTATGTTTTGTTTCTGTTCAAAGGGGACTGTCAGATTGTACAGATTTGTCCAAAATCTACCCCACATATCACCTATTAAAAAAAAAAGATTTTGTTAATACACAGAAAGGACAGCAGAAGTACAGAACTGATATTTACATAGTACATGAGGTGAGATTGATAAACAGGTCACTTAGTATTCTACATTTAATCTAATTTCTGTGCTTTCTTTTCACTATCTCTTTTTCTCTTATTTTAGTTTCAAAACTCCCATCTTTTTCTATCTCCTCTAAAAGGTTAAAATGGCGGAAGATTTTGTAGTTAGGCAAAACTTGTTAGGGAATCATCCCAGTTTCTCCCATTTAAGGTTTAAAAAGCAAAATTTACTAAATATGTGGAACATCATAGCTAATATAGATTAGAAGCATATTTATTGAATTTACCATCCAAGGGGCAAAAATACTACAAATTAAACTATTAGTAATCCTTAATTTTGGATTCAAGAGAGATCATATAGGATCATCATTCAGCGACCTCTAGTAATTAGTGATTACATTTCACTTTTATTCCTATAATAGAGTAATACACTTAACTGGGTAATTTTTCAAACATCTCAAATAAACGTTAAAATGAATTTCAAGGCCAGGCCCTAAAAGGGAAGATGGATGTAGAACAAGTCAATCTAATAGCAGGACCAGAATCTTGACATCAAAAGATAGGGCAACTTAACTATACAAAGAATGATCCAATGAAGTCACATTTTAAAGAAAAAGATATCTATTCACTGTGGAAATATGTGATATGTGACATAAGGCTGAAACACAGTCCAAAAGGGACCCAGCAAACAGTATGACATTGCTTCCAAAACCCAAATGTGACTATAACGTAAATGAATAGAATCAAAGTATCTAGAACAAAGGAAGCCATGGTTCCATTTTTACTCTATGTTGGCTAAACCTCATTAAAATAACTGTGGTTCTGAGCTTGATATTTGAAGAGTGACACCAACAAGGGATGGCTTATCCAAAGGAGAACAAATAGAAAAGTGATATTTTAAAAGAATGGTTTAAAAATTCTGTTTGACATTTAACTTAAAATAGGAAAATAGTGTATGCATGATGATAACAATAATGCTCACAAAAGTATACTGAGTACATATTCTTATGCCAGATACTATGTTATGTCTTCTATGATGGCTATTTGCAAATATCTTAAAGGCCATTTTGTAAAAGAAGGATGGATATACCCTAGGTAACCTCCTAACATGGAATTAGGTGTAACGAATGTAAGGCAATAGGGGGTGTTAATTCAGTTCCACACAAAGTAAACATTTCTTATAATTAATGCCATGAAGCAATGCCATTTCTTATAATTAATGCCATGAAGCAATGCCATTTCTGCCTTGGAAGAAAGAAAAAGCTACATCACACCAGGTAGGTTTAAGCAGAAACTGAATTACTGAAGAACTCCTGGCAAAGACATTGTAGAGAGTATTTTATACATATTGTTTTAGAGTAAAAAGTCTCCACAAGTCCTTTGTTCATATTCTCTTCTGCTGAACAAGGCTTGGTCTTGGAGAATTTGCTGCCATTAATTTAGCTTGACTGCAGTAGTAATACTATGTATACATGACATGAATTTTTCAGCTTCTGGGGTGATGGTGAGGGAAGTGGAGGATAGTCATTTTCTGGAGGGAAATTAGCAGGTTCAATTAAGGGCCCTAAGTCTTGTATAGTCAACAAAGGCTCTGTGGCAGGATCCAAGGTTTTAGGAAGATTGATTTTTCTCCTAAGCTAGGCATCTTCCTTCATTATAAAGACTTCATACATACTCATGTGATTCCAAACCAAGTACTTTCCAGCAAAAGTAATTGCTACAGTTAAGAAAGAACTTACAAAGCTTTAGCTCAGGCCATACCTTAATTCTAGAAGCCTTTCTCTCATGGCTGACTACTGAGCTTCATTCTTCTGACAATATGATACTAAGATCCCAAATTCACTTCAAAAGCTTAGCCAACCAACTTGAATAAGACTTATTTTCCCCATTCACACTCTTATTTGAACTTGGCATTCCTTCTCTAATTGTCTTAATCACCCCTTTATCCTTCGAATTGTAGCCAACATAATAACTGTTTATGTACAAAATAAAGTAATGCAATAATGATTTCAAAATAATTTTCTATTGAAGACAGTGCTTTCAAAATATAATTTCTATGATGTTATTAATTCCATTCACAGAATTTTCCAAAAGTTTTATGTTGGTCCTCACTCCATAAAAGAACTTTATTAGTGGAAATAGCATAGAGCAAAGTATACGAAGAATTGGTGGAGTTTCTTACCAAGCAAATGGGCAGGGAGGCATCCAGTCGGACTGATACGGGAAGGATAGGCATTCATCAGCTTTGCCCTGACATAAGCATGAAGTTGTTCATATAATGGTTTAATCTGAAAAGCCCAGGAAGAAAGTTTAAGACCAAGAGAAGCTGGTTCCTATTTCCAATCCTCAACACTAAAAATAGAAGCTTATTTAGACAAGTAGAATGTCCCTAAAGTTTCATTTCTTTTCCTCTCAAATATTATGGAGAGTTTGAAAGTATTCCTTCTTTCCAGATGCTGATGATAACTAGCTTCATTGCATAAAGCAATAAGCACACCTGAAGATATACAGGTTCCAAAATAAAAGCAGATGCAAAAATATTCATTTCTAAGATGTTATCTACTTCCTTTGTTTTTAAATTGAAATATCATTTACACAAGATAAAATTTACCCATCTTTAAGTGTATAGTTTCATGAGTTTTAGAACATTTATATTGTTGAGCAACCATTCCCACCACCCAGTTTTACCCCCATTTGCAGTTTATTCCACTTCTACCCTCAGCACTAGGTAACTGAACTGATTCTGTCTCTGTAGTTTTCCCTGGTCTGGACATTTCATATAAATGAAACTATATAATATGTGACCTTCTGTGTCTGTCTTCGTTCACTTAACATAATGTTTTTGAGGTTCATCCATGATATTGCATGCATCAGTAGATCATTCCTTTTTATTACTGATAAACATTTCATTGTATGAATACACTAGAGTCTGCTTCATTTACTATCTCATGGATAAAATTCGCCAGTTGTGGGATGATTAGATTGTTTCCACTTTAGGGCTACTATGAATAATGCTTCCATGAATATTCACATATAAGTCTTTGTATGGATATATATTTCACTTCTCTCATATAGACACCCAAGAATAACTTAGTTATATGGAAAGTGTATGTTTAACATTTAAGTTGTCAAACTATTTTTCAAAGTGACTGTACCATTTGACATCTCTGTCAGCAGGGTATGAGAGCTCCAGTATCTTCATATCCTCACCAATACTTGGTACTATCAGTCTTTTTCTTAAATATATTTTTTATTAATTTCAAATAGGAAGGGAGTGGGAGAGAGAGAAAGAGAGAAACATCAATGATGAGAGAGAATCATTGATCAGCTGCCTCCTGCATGCCCCACACTGGAAATGGAGCCTGCAACCTGGGCATGTGCCCTGACTGAGTATTAAACAGCAACCTCTGGTTCATAGGTCGACAGTCAACCACTGAGCCATGCTGGCCAGGCTGTCAGTCTTTTTTTAATTACAGCTATTCTCGTGGGTGTGTAGTCGTTTTTAATTATAGTTTTAATTTTCCTAATAATGCTTTACTTGCTTATTTGCCATTTCTTTGATGATATACTTATTAAAATATTTTGCCCACTTCTCTTTATTTGGGGGGGGGCGGGGATATTTGTCCTGCTTTCATTTTTTTTTTTATAGCTCTGCCCAACTATGGATAGACAGAGTAACTACACATAAGAAGTTTGAAGGCTCAGAAATAAGGAGATGTGGGGATCAAAATGAAGGAAGAGGGAGACATTAAGAAGTGTCCATAGGGTACTTAGACTCATAGACTCGCTCTTTCCTATAAAGATAAGGAAGCAATAGTACCAATTGTCCTGAGAAAGGATCTGCTAACAGAGGATGACAATGCTGCCCTAGGTAGCTCACAAAGACCATGCCTTCTCATAATCTAAAAGACTGTTCCTTTCTTATAATCTTGCTGTTGGTAATTTCTGGTTAGTGGCTGAAAAGTGGGAGAGAGGGGGAGTAGAGTAATACTGATCATCTGTAGGAATTGTCCTGTTATTCTGTAAAATACTTTCAAGCTCTAATATGACATAACTATGAGGCCTGGGAATGACTGACCAGTGTGTTAGAACAAGCCAGAATGCCTTTTGTCACCTTCCCTTCTCCTGAGCACTGCCCTACATCTGTCTCTGGGTACAATTCCTTAGTTACCTCTAAAAAGATACGGTCCACATCTTCCATCAAGTGGTTGCGGCTATAGTTATAGCCATCTCCCCACTCTGTTTCATAATCTCCTCTCCAATAATCCCCATAGTCCTTGTAATCTGTTTAGAAAAACACAAGGGAAAGAAAGAGTAAAAGCACAATGTATATATGTATTAGCCTTGCCTGGAGGCTAAAAAAAAAATCCAAAGATATGTCACATTTTTTTACTGCCCTTCTAAATATCAACTGAAAGGAATACAAACGAATAATGACACTAGCTCATGTCTGTTAAGCACTTGCTCTGTGTCAGAAATTTAACTGCATTATCTCATCTAATACACTCAAACACTCTACAAGATTGACATTATTATAATGCCCACTGTGCAGATTAACAGCCTGTTTTTAGATGATTAAATCATTTGTCCAAGGTTGCACACAACTAGTAAGGCACAGGAGCACACTCCTACTTTCCTAACCCTGGGTCTCTACTCTCTCCATAGGTCAGTTTACATCTTTAGCTTTAAAATATGTGATTGCATCTGCATTTTTAAATTCCCGCTCATATATTTAAAAATCCAACCCAACTCATCTTAGACATTGCTACAGTGTGCCTATATTTATTTGCAAATCATATGTATAAACAGTACATCTCTTTACATTTTATGTAGTATCTCATCATCAGGAAACATGAGCTTGTGTTAAGTTATTAGCTAATAAAGTTTGCAAATGTATATTATAATAATAATCTTTACTTTTTCAGGCACATTGGCAATGAATGATCAGGAAGATGAGGAGAAAAACAAATATTTGGATAGAAGAATATGGTGATGAGTTACTGTCTCCAGCTTATCTATACCTTGAGAATATGAGTTTATGTATCAGTGAAAAATATTTGGAAACCACAGATGAAAAAATTCTTTCTTGCTCAACCCAATAAAGTTATTCATAATGCCATGGGCTTCAGCTCATTACCCAGGCAGGAGCATAAGTTAAGAAAGATGAGAATTCCTCCCCATGTTAAGATTTTTATGACCACATGATTTGAGTTATTATTACAACTGCAGAATGTTATGAGTTTCCAGCCTTAATTAATCTGATTTTTTTTTTCTTTCTGTGACACCACCCTGAGGTAAACACACAAATGACTTTTGAGAATGAATTGTAGCTAGATGGGAGCTCAGGTGAGAGACTGTCTCTGTTTCTCATTCTTTCTGAGAAACAGAATTCCTATTTAATCCCCAAACAAGCTCAGGAACCTTGTGGGCCTGAGACCTTCCCAGACAACTGATTTGTTTGAAGCCCTGTAGTTGAGCTCTTTAACTATAGAATGTCAATTCACCTTTCCTTATTCCCTAGTAGTTTCTTCTTTGAGAAAGGCAACATGAATTATTCATCAGAGGATCCTGAATGTAGGGATATACCTTATGTCAAAGGGCAGCCTTGGGAATCTATGAGGGGAGAAAAAAATCATGACCTCAAAGACCAGCAAACTTACTGTTTCCTCTTGCCATCTCATTTTTCAGGACCACATACTCTTCATATAATGGCCTCAGCTGCTTGCCGACCTCAGACCTCCAGCCTTCCCAAACCCAGAGCCTTTGATGATAATCTTTGCTCTTCTCCATTATGTCTTCCAAGCCTGTTATTGCAAAGCACCCAAAGGGAAATAAACATGCATTGGCAAAATTTTTATTTGTAAACAATTACATGAACCTTCAAGAATTTAAAGTAAGGCTGGCAGACATAAGGTCATAAAGTTATAAAATGAAATATCATGATTCATTAATTTCCTCATTCTTATTATAGTTCCAAAATATTTGAGGAGAAAATAAACCATTGGCATCATTTAACTGTTAACTTAATTAAGTTACTTGAATATGATAGACTTTACAAATGTAGTTTTGTTAAATGCTAAGTTTGTCTATGTGCTGCATCACATATTTGGAATCTTCTCACCTTTGGATTATCCATGTGAAAAAGCACAATGCCATTATCTAACATCAATTTCATTTTTAAAACTTTGGGGAAAAGTGAATATAATAAGCACTGCTCAAAATTAATAGCTTACCTGAAAGTGTGAAGCACTGCTGTGGATTATTTGGGTTACAAACTTTTCCAGTACTGTAGATGGTGCTCATTGTAGTTAGAATTGTGCTCAACTGCAAATTAAAGATAATAAACACTGATAAAAATGAGAGATATGCAAAAGAAAATTCTAATGTAAAGATGTCCTGTTAGCCATATGATTTTTTTTTTTTTTTATGAATCCAAATACAGCAGTTCACAACTTCTTTGCCAAGTATCTTTCGATGCAGGGCAGGAATCTCTCAGTTAAATCTCCTCACCATCAGTTATCAACAGAGCCTTATAAACTAGTAATAAATATATGTGAAGTGATTAAAATAAACAGATGTACTAAAATCCCCAAAACATTTCTCACCTTCGCATGCACAAAGTGCAATTGTTATTACATTCCACATCCACTGAGCGCACATTTATTAAACATCTACTATGTTCTACACTCTGACAGTTCTGACATGAACAAGTCACTGGTCCTCAAGGACCCCACAGACATGGGACAAGGAGGGAGCCATGGCACTATAATTATATAACAGAGCGATATGGGCTATCGCTGTCACCAAAAAGTAATGCGGGAGTATGAGGAGGAGATTCAGTAATGGCTTCAAAGAGGAAGGCAAATTAGAGCTCTGTCTTGGAAGAGAAGCAGAAAAGAGAGATGGAGGGCAGAGCCTAAAAGGTGGAAGGAGGTTGGGAAAGATACGGCCTTTTCAGGGAGTGATGACATGTTGAAGGAAACTAGAATAGTAGTGCTGGTTGAAGGACATGGGAATGGAGAGATAAGCAGGATCCAGATTATTAGGAACCTTTTCTGTCACACTGAAAAGTTTAAACTGTACCCTGTAGTTAGAGTGTAAAGGGGAGTAGCATAATAGAGTAAAGCGGTGCTACTCAAAATATGGTCCATGAATCAGTGCAAGGCAGCAAATGGTTTGTTTCCATTATATGATAAGTACAGTAACTGAATCAATGTTTATAAACTTGTAAGACCATTTAATATTTCCATGACATCTAGGCATGCGATAGATTGGTAATAAAAGAAGAGGAGAAAGGGAGGAAGGGAAGAAGGGAGGGAGGGCTGGTTCTCTCCCACAGATGATTTAAGAAATACCAGATGAAATACCCTGTTTCCCCTTTTCCTATTTCCCGCTTCCATTATTCTTTTATTCTGCTACAAGAGTTGCTATCCTAAGACATAAAATAGATTCCATGCTTAAAACTTCAAAGGAATCAACTAGTAATTTAGAAATCAGTAATAAATATATGTGAAGTGATTAAAATAAACAGATGTACTAAAATCCCAAAAACATTTCTCACCTTCGCATGCACAAAGTGCAATTGTTATTACATTCCGCATCCACTGAGTGCACATTTATTGAACATCTACCATGTTCAACTCTCTCCCTTCTTCCTTTCCATTGAATTCATGCATCTTTGAGTCTCCCCTCTTCCCAAACACTTTAAGCTCTTACACGCATTTCATGCTTTTCAATCCTGGCTGCACATTAGAAGTATCTGGATCTTTTAAAAATAGAATGTCCGGTTCCAGCTAGGATAGACCATATCAATGGGCAAAGTTTCACACGATATCTTTGTGGGAAAGATGGGGAAGCATGGAATGGACAAGATAATGTGGATTAACACCTAGTTAGTAAGTGAATCCAAAGAATGCAAAATAATAAATCTCAACTTGTAAGAAGATACAGGCCATATGGTTTCATCTTTCTTCTTCTCATGCATTTTTTTTCTTTTTATAGATGCAGATTAGAACACAGAGTTCCAGAGGAAAAGCAACTAAGAAATAAGACTTTGATGTTAAATAGCCAAATATTTCAATAGATTAGACGAAGGGTCTTAAACTATGATCTGCAGACCAAATCCTATCTGCTTCCTGTTTTTTATAAAGTTTATAAAAAACATGCCTATTTGTTTATGCATTAGCTATGGCTGATTTCCCACTACAACAGCAGAATTAACTTATTGTGACAGAGACAATACAGCCCACAAAACCTAAAATATTTGTTATCTTTACCTTTGTATAAAAGTTTATTGACTCCTGGGCAAGAGAGATGGAATGAAATAGGGGCAAATATAGGCTTTCTCAATTTTGCACAAACTAGCCACCTAAGAATAGAATTTTAAAAGTATCCCTTTAGAACATTTGGAGACTTCATTGACAATGACATTGATATGAGTCAAAACCATGGAATTTGTCAAAAAACAAACAAAACACACAATCAAACAATAAGACCTAGATTGTCTTGGCATATATAGAGCACAAAGTGCAGAATGTTACATTGCTGCTCACCTCTATGCAGACCAGAACCAACTCAAAGTGCTATGTTTAGCCTAGAGAGAAAAAGGACTCAACTAGTTAAAAAATATATATATATTAGCAGCTTTTATTTATTTAAAGACTATTATAGGAAAGAGCAATTTGGCTTTTGATGGCAGAACAGTGTGTAGGTACATCCCCTACTACTCAATGGAGTGAATATCATTCCATCAATTAGAGGAAATCAGATGTGAAACTGATGTCTTGGAAAGAAGTGAACCCCCCATCCCTAAAGAAGTTTGAGCTGAGGTTCTTAGCCACTTGCTAAAGAGTTTGCAGAGGAGAGTCAAGAATGAAAAGAGGAAAGGATTAGACTACAATGTGAGCTACTCAAGCTTGGCACTATTGACATTTTAGACCAGATAATTATTTGTTGTTTGGGGATGTCTTGTGCATTGCAGAATGTTTAGCAGCATCCCTACCCACTGGATGCCAATATCACCTCTCCCAAGTTGTGACAACCAAAAATGTCTCCAGACATTTTTAAATGTCCCTGGGAGGCAAAAATCATCCACAATTATGAACCACAGACATAGACTAAGTATATTATTCAGGCTGCCTGGTCCTCAGAAAGATAATCTCTGTTTAGGGTGTCCATATACACCACAGCGCCCAAACAATCCCAGTTTTTCTCTGTGTCCTAACATAATTATTACATGTCTTCTTTCACTCTCAAAAAGATTCTAAGCCCAGAGCTCTTTTTAATGTCAGCATGCCACTCTTTGCAGATAAAGGAAGCAGCCATGGGTGATATGAATGTTTACTATTCCCCGATATTTCAACTCTTGAGATCAATGCTAGAATGTTCACATACTCGTTTGCTCTTTTCTGCTGTGAGCACTGATGACCCATTTTGCTGAAGGATCTGCAATTGAAGCTTGATTGTAGAATCCTGAATTTCTTGCAGTGGAAAAGCTTGGGCAAGCTTGGACTGTTCTTTATAAAAGTCAGACCACTTGCTGTCAGCTTCATTCTGAAATGACAAAAATATAAAATTAAAGGCAGAATGACACTACTTGAACAGATAGAATAGAAGATGCGGTCCCAAAAACATCTGGTGGAGCATGTAATATTTCCTAAGTGTTTTAGTTCTCTACTTTGCTGAAGGTCGAGGCTTAGGTTAAGAGTGACCAGGCCACTCTTGGTCACTCTCTCTTCCTGGCCCACTGCCTAGTTTTCCCAAGAGTCCTGTCCCTAGAACTAGAAGTAAATTCTCACAGATGATTCACATTGTAAGACCCTGGAATTTATAGTCTTAGCACTGTGACATGTGCGAGCTGATCGGGATTCAAGGGTGAATGTTCAAGGGAGAGCTTAGTAGAGCTTAGCATGGGCTTACTGTGAATACAGACTCTCATGACTATGGGAACCTTGAGAAATGAGCACTGGTTTGCAGTAAGCTCCATAGTGCCATGACTTACCAGATATTGTGATCTTAAATTATGTTCCCCAAAGAAAGTTGTCCAGAATATGGCTATTTGATAGCCGTGCTCATTTTTTACCATCAAAAGAAACTAACAAGCACGTGATGATGCCAGGACTTGAACATTAGCGGGCAAACGGACTCCTACAGACTTCTCTAGTGCAGTCTTCCCTCAATGCACAAATTTCCATTTATCAGACTACGGTGAACAGTTACTTTGTACATTGTACTTCTCTAGACCATATAAAAGTGGTAGCATATGAGGCAAGTAAGAAAGAGCTCCATTCCTGGAGTCAAACACCACCCACTAGCTGCGTGACCTCGGGCAGATTACTTAGCCTCTCTGAGCTGCAATTACCTTATCTGTAAAATTAGAGTAATAATAAAACTTACTTCAAAGGATTGTTTTAAGGATAAGAAGAATGAACAAATAAGAAAATGCTTAGTAGAGTGCCCAATGCATCCTATGCATTAAAAAAAAAAAAAAGTTCGCTAATTTTTCCCCCTCTCTTTATTGATTAAGGAAAGTTTGCTATTTTAGCACTTAATAGAAAAACATCTTTGTTCTTACATTGCTTGGAGTTTCATCTTATGGATAAGATATGCATCATGAATTTTTTCATTAATGATATATAAGAGCATATAATATATATAAACTATGAGTAAGTGAAGCAGTTTCAGTTATAGGAAAAGAGAGATTCATTCAGAGAACTAGACTTGACCAAGCCCTCATGGAGAAGGTGGAACCTAAGACAGACCTTAAAGTAGGTAGGAGTTAGATGAATTAAAGTACTTTGCAAAATAATTTATCTCATTTGATCTTCTTAACAATCACATTAGATAGAAAACCATTTTGTATCCATTTTTCATGTGTGTTTTGAGGGTCTGAGAGAAATAATAGTGGAGCTGGCAATCATCTGCCAGCACATGGATCTTGGATCCCGTGGTGGACAGACTCTAAGATAATTCCCACGACTCCTACTTCCTGGTGGTACACATTTGTGTGATCTCCTCCCCTTGAGTGTGAGCAGGACCCACTTGTAAGCGGTAGCATATACCAAAGAAGATAGGATGTACATGTTTATGTCATATAAGATTAATTTTTATCTTGCTGGAGGACTCTGTGTCCCTTGCTGACTTGGATGTAGCAAGATGCCATGTTGTGAACTATCCTGTGGAAATAACCACATGGCAAGGAATTAAGGATGGCGGCCTCTGGCTGACATCCTGCAAGAAACTAAGGATCTCAGTGCAGCAGCACACAGAGATCTGAATGCTACCACTAGCCATATTAGCTTAGGAGTGATTCATCCCCTGTCAGGCCCCAGGTAAGACCACAGCTCCAACCAGGATCTTGACGGCAACTAGAGACTCAGGAGCAGAAGGTCAGCTACACTTTTCCTGGATTTATGACTAACAGAAGCTGTGAGTTAATAAATGTGTGTTGCTTTAAGCTTCTAAGCTTGTGGTAATTTTTTAAATATATTTTATTGAAGTTTTACAGAGAGGAAGGGAGAGGGATAGAGAGTTAGAAACATCAATCAACTGCCTCCTGCACACCTCCTACTTAGGGATGTGCCCGCAACTAAGGTACAAGCCCTTGACCGAAATTGAACCTGAGACCCTTCAGTCCACAGGCCGACGCTCTGTTGTGGTAATTTTTTACACAATAAATAACTGGTAATACAGATTCCAGGCATGACTGCACTTTTCAGACCAAGAAGTTTTGCTTTTATCTTGTGAATACTAGGGAGTCATTGAGGGGTTCCAAGCAGGCATCTGACATGATGGAAGTGACAACAATGGATCAGACAAGAGGTGAAAAAGTGGCAGTAGAAATGGAAAATGATTTCTCTCTTTATTGAGCTCAAACAACCCCTCAGAAACTACTTCTCAATTAATTATCACAAACAATATTGTGAGGTAGTTATAATTATCTCCATTTCACAAATGATGAAAATGAGGCACAGAGTGGACAAATAACTTTACCTAGGTCACACAGCTAGTAACTGGAAGAACCAACTCAGATATATTTACTCCAAAGCTAATGCTCTCTAACCACTAACTTAGATTGCATTAGACACATTCTAGTCTTCTGTCTAACATGCATGAGTTAGAAGGAGAGAGCTACAGAAAGAATAATTTTGTCTACAGCACAGACTCATTGATGCAACCCAGTACTCAATTCTCAATCCCTACCCTTATTCACCCAATCCAGAATGACTTAGTGTCAAGCAAAATTTCTGGTAAAATTTTGATACTAAATGATAGGAATAATTTTATTCTCAATCAACTTTGAAGACAACTCACAATTCCCTGCACTATGCTAGTAGTGCAAATTCAACTTCTACACTTGTTAAATAACACAGGTGAAACCTGAGTCTGATCAGGTATCTATATGAGAACTCTGACCACCATCTATTTTGTAAATAAAAGTTTATTGTCACATATTCACACTCATTTATATATTGGCCTTACTGCTTTCACACTACAATGGCAGAGTAGGATAAAGGTGGGAGAGCCCACAGTCTGAAATATTTACTATCTGTGCTGTTACAGAAAAAGTGTTCTGATTTTTAACTCTGATCTATACAAATACAGGAAATACAGAGGACAAAAGAGCATGTAAAGCAACACTGAGAGGGCACACTCAGCAAGTTCAGAAAGTGGAAGTTTCTATAGGACCAACAATTCAATTTCTCCACAAATAAATTGGGGGGAAATGAGAGAGGGACTCTATAGATTAAAAAAGGCTTGAAATACATCCATCAAAACTACCGAAAGGACCTTGTTGGATTCTGATTCAAATAAACTAGCTGATAAATTTTTTTTAAAGGAGACAGTAGGGACCATTTGACTATTGACAAACTATATGATGATACTGAGGAATCATTGTTAAGTTTTTGGCATGGCAGTATTATTAAGGTTGTTGTAAAAATTCTCACTTTGAGAGTCACAAGTTGAAATACACATAAAACTATATGATGTTTTGGGTTTCCTTCAAATAATTCAATAAATGTGGATCAAGGAGAAAAATAAAACAAGATTGGCCAAAGTGTTGATTGATAATTGGTGATTGATTTCTGGAGTGGCTAAATGTTCTAAAATTAGAAATGGTAATGATCCTGCAATTCTGTAAATATACTAAAAAGCATTGCATTGTATGCTTTAAATGTGTGAATTTTATGCCACGTAAGTTAAATCACAATAAAGCTGTTGTTACAGCCTGCAATAGTAAAAGCAAATTTTTTAAAAATCACCTCATTCTCTAAGTCCTATAAGGAGATCTGAAATCCCCATGGAACTGCTCTAACCCAAAGGATTTAGCCAAATTAATGCAATGCTCTTTTACCCAGGTACCTGGTGCATACCAAGAGGCAGCAGCAGTCACTCATCATCAAACCACCCTCCCTAGGTGTAGTTGGTAGTTGCCTGGCATCCAATCAGAGTGCTTAGATCAGTGAATAATTGTGCTAAATTTGGGTGTATTTAACCCTATCATGTTGAGATGCTCGATCTTAATTTCACCAAAATTACATCACTGAACTGGGACATTATCAAGTTTTCAGGACAAAAGGAAACCAGTAAGAGCAAGGCCTCTAATACACTTCACCAATGTTAATTGTGTACAGGAGGAATTTATCCATTCAAAAATTGTTATCTACTGAATTATCTTTCACATCTACACCCTTCCATTTCAAGAGACTAAGAAGTAAGTGACTTGAGCAAGGTTATCAAGAGCCATCTCAGAAGTCCTAAGAGCATCAGATTTCCTGAATTCCATTGTATTTCCAGCACAATGAGCTTCTCCCGACCTGTACCTGTGTGTAGGTATTTGTGTGTGTCCGGGAGGGTGGGACAGAATCATTGGAGATAGATATGAAGTTGACATTCTTCTCTTGGGCATATAATAGCATGTTAAAATTCCCCTGTTCTAAGTTCACTGTGACTCCAGCCCTAATGGCAAAGAATTAAGGTTTAAGAATCAGAAATGCCAGAGAACTCTAGGGGGCCCCAGAAACAAAGGGCTGAAGAAGCCCCAGAGAGCATCCAAAGGCTAACTATGGGCGTCCTGCTCTCTCTTTGCAGTTTCTTACAACTCTTCAGGAAATATTTATTAAGGGTTGTTTCAGACCTCGGAGGCTCGAAGAGGGCATTCTTCAACACCCTCTTCAGCTGCGTAGGGCAGCTTTAGGAGTTACTGACAATCACTGGAACAATGGACCAGGATGTCTCTGCCACAATAGGATCCTTTTGCTCTGTTCCAGAAATAAAACTGTCCAGGAGACCTTCCCTTTCTGCAAAAATAAATCCTTTTGATTTTATATGGATTCTATGTCAAAAAGCAAGCCAACAATAAATTTGCAAAAAAGGGACAGTGTAAAAAAAAAAAAGTACTATTATTTTACTCAGAAAATAATTACAGTTTAATTGTGAATACTCAGTCTCAAACATGAAAACCGTATTTGCTATAACAGGGGCAATTTATTATATATTACATCGCAAGTGCTTGACAATTTATTTTTACTGAATTTCTAAACTCTTTGAAAACCTGTTTCGAACCAAGCTTTTTTTCTTATCTCTATCTGATGGAACTCGCCTAAGTAGGGAGCATTTGGGACACTACACTGATCAAGTTGTGATGCCTTCTATTATTTTGAGGTATGTTCACACAACTTGATCTAAAAATCAACATGCTAGGTCAGATTCATAGACTGACAAACCCAATATTTTGACTCTGAAATATGGCCCAAATTTCCTTTACCATAGTATCTATTGCTACAATAAAATTACATAACAATAAAACAAAAATCTTTAAAGATATAAGTGCATTTTTAAAAAATATATTTTATTGTTCTTTGGGGGTTTTTTTACAGAAAATAAGGGAAAAAAATAGAGTTAGAAACATTGATGAGAAAGAAACATTGATCATCTGCCTCCCGCACACCTCCTACTGGGGATGTGCCTGCAACCAAGGTACATGCCCTTGACCGGAATCGAACCTGGGACCTTTCAGTCCACAGGCTGAAGCTCTATCCACTGAGCCAAACTGGTCAGGGCATAGTGTATTTTTTATTTGCCTGGGATTACAGAGGTTGCCAGGCAGCTCTGCTGATATTGACTTGATTAACTTACCACTTTGGGGGTTGGGGGGTGATTCCTGCTGGCAACTACTTCATGTGTCTCTCATTCTTTAGCTGGCTAGCCCAGGCATGTTTTCATAGCAAAAGCGAAGGAACAAAAGACAAGCCCCATCGTTCTAGTCCATTCGAAGCCTCCACTTACATCATGTCTGCTAACATCCCATGGATCTCATTAAGTGACATGATGAACACATTTGCATCACTTTTGGTGGAAGGACACTGCAAAGTGACAGACCCTTGGGCATTGATATAGGAAAGAGTAAAGAGCTGGGTCCCTCAATGTACTTAACCGTACTTCCTTACCCGGAGTGTAGCTACAATTGTTACATTTGCTTAAATATCTCAAGAACCTATTTATAGCTTTCAGTGTCTCGCTTTTCTAGATTAAAGAATAGCCTGGTTTTCATATTACTCAGGAAAAAAAATCTTGCCATTCTCAATAATATGGATGGACTTAGAGGCTAGTAAGTGAAATAAGACAGAGAAAGACACACTGTATGAATTTACTTATATGTCAAATCTAAACAAAACGAAATAAAAACAGACCCATAGATACAGAGAAGCTGATGTTTGCCGAAGGGGTGGGAGGTGGCGGGGTGGGGGAGATTGAAAAAATGAACGGCCTCGTTTTACAAGTCTTACCAGTTTTACCACCTATGGTGTAAATAGCATGTCCTGCTATTGGTTATAAATTTCTCTCTTTTGAGTTTTCAAAAGGACCATGTTTCTAGCATGAAGAGATTGGGTCAATACAATTGGGAACATGCCATCCTTTCTTGTTCCCCCTCAGACTATTTTTTTTTCTTTGTGAGTCAGGCTTTGGATAGCTAATTCTGCTTTCCCTCCTCATTCTTTCTGATCTCCTTAAATCAGTCCAGTTGCTCTCTTTGGGGGAAAATTCTTCATTTCTAAAACGGCCACCAGCAGCATTTCTAAGCATCTTGCTTATCTTAGTACCTCTCATACCACCTGCCGTAGTCGGGGCATAGCAATACATATGTGATAAGAGAATAGGAGAGTCATTCCCTTCCCTGACTATCACTCCCCTCCGCAGGTAAACTCATACAGTGCACCTCAGTGCACCCTTCACCGCTGCTTGAGGAAAGAGAGATGGAGCCCCTGCTTGCTTCTTGCATTCAAATATTTTCACTCTCCTTTAAGAGGCCCAGACTTTCTGCAGTTTGGCCACACTTCATGTTTATGTTCTTTCATCTCTGGCCTTTGCTCTGATCAATAGGTGCCATTCAAAAGTAATAGCACTTAGTGGTTCAGAGATGATTTCAGGAAACATCACTACATATCACTCTATAACAGGCCTTCTCAGCCTCTGGGCATTCAACAAAAGTGTTACAAGTCTCGTCAGCAATCACAACTCCCTCTCACATTCACGACAATGGTATCTTATTATTTTTCCATGCTCACAAGCATCAAGTCCTATCCTGGTGGTTTTGTGTACTAATTCAGTCTTCACAATGACCTTACGAAAGTTAGGTTATTTTTTACAGACAAAAAACCTAAGGTGCAGAGAGGTTAATGAACTAGTTCAAGTTCACTGGCTAGAAAGTGGTGGAGCCAGGATCTGGAGTTTGACTGTCTGATTCTAGAGCTCTTAGGCATGATGCTAGTATGCCTTCATCACCACCTACAGGACATTCAGCTGAGCATGCAAACAAATACACAATACACTACAAGCACCTCCAACAACTATCAAATAAAAAATAAGAAAAGGGCAACAATGAAGAGATGAAAAAGAGGTATGACAAAAACATGAGACAAAAAAAAACAACAACAACATGATCTTCTCTGACAATACTGGACTGTCAAAATCTCCTGGATTTCTTTGAGCTTTAGAAAAAGTAGAAGAAAAAAAGTCTGTTTACAGGTTTCAAATAAAATAATAGGTGTCAGAGTTATTTTGTCCAGTGAATAACGGTTATTTAATTTAAGCATACAAACTTACTAATCATTTGAAAAAATAAACTTCTGAACTACATTTCTGAAGGAATGTATTGCCATACAAGTGCCCCCAAAATTATTTCTTAAATAATGTTGCTCAATATCCAACACTAAATGTAGAAGAATACTTTTGGGGTCCGTAAGAGAAGAAACCTTAAACCTGTATATTCGTCTAACAAAACAGCTTGCTTCCCAGAACATTCTGAGATTTGTCAGAACTGTCTAAATTGTATTTTTTCTGGAGGGCTCCTTGTGGATTCTGTGACTTTTGCAAGTCCCTCTGAGAGAGCTCTGTGACAGCGAACTAAGAAATTCCTAAATCCAGCCTCACCCCACCAATTGTTAGATAATTACTATCTAGCTCTTTCACCAAGCCTCTAGGTGCATTTTTCAGTTACCATATTATTTTAGAGAGTCTTTAGATATTCCTGTTCACATCACTAACTTATGGCATTTCCATGAAATGCTTTGAAACCCTGACAATGATGACAATTATGGTGGCAACCTTATGAGGCAAGTTCGCTGTTTTCCAGGAATCTGAACTGAGACACATGAACTACTCTGTAACAATTTTCCAAAATGAACCCCAAGTTCAATTAAGTTTAGTCATCTGGGACTTTGAAATCAGACATACTGAGGCAAATATCCAACTTCCCAGCTCAAGGCACTTCTTTGATTTTTCTTTTTCAGTTGGATGGGCAGTAATTTAGCCCATAAGAAGCAATAAATACTCATATGAAGCCATGCGCACTCACCATTTTTTGGGCATTCTTGTCGGTGATATTGGTGTTATAATCCCAAGAAGCAAGAGCACTTTCATGAGACAGGTTTTCAGCTTTAGAGTTAAACTTATCCAAAAATTCCCTGGCTTCTCCCTCAGTTGTGGAGGATTGAGCCGCAGCTACAGCAACGAGGCTGAGAAAGAGCCAGAACGAGCCTGACATCTTTCCCTGTGAGCCAAGATCCCATCCACTGAAGAACTTTCCCAAGAGCAAAACCTCATGAGTTTTTCTCTCTCATCAGCCTTTGAACTTGGGTTGGGCACTGAGCGGGGAAGACAGAAAAAAAAAGGAAGAAGAAACAGTAAACAATCTGATGGACCAATAGAAAGCTAATCCTGGAGAGGACAGATATGTCCGCATGTTTTAAAATGATTTTTAAAGGAAATCAAATAAACAAATGTTATTCATTAATCCCAGAGAATCCTAGCTTTCCTAGCTTTTATGGCCAAATCAAAACTTGTACATTTGGTTAATAAGTTCCTAAAAAGCTGTTAAAAACACACTGAAGGTGTTATAATTTTACAGTGACCAAAGAAGGCTCAAATTAAGGATCGTGTAAGCAATGTTGTTACTTATCTGTTTGTCAGACAATTCCATGAACAGTGACTTATCCCTGCTTTTTTTTATTTCAAACTTATATTCACAGAAACTATCTACTTGCGTAACATTTTCTCTTCCTACATAAATGACTTAGCCCTTGCATTTAGGAAATTCATTTCTTTCTGATACGTTTTAAATTTCACACAATTAGTTTTTAAAATAATAAGACTACCTTCCACTCCACAGGTTAACTCTCCTGATGTAGCTTGGAAAAACTTCAAAAGGTTCCGTTTCTATTGCTGAGATTATCATGGTGAGCACTGGCTCTATGGCAGCCTTCACTGTGTGCCTCCTTCCCTTCCACTTACCTGTTCAAACCTCAGGCAAGGTCACCAGGAAATGAAAATGCCTCTGCGAGGTATGAAACTCAAGGAGTGTCCATGTCAAGCTCTGGTTATCACTGGCCATAGGATCATGGCAACATAGAGTCCAAAGAAACTTCAGTGGTTCTCCTGGCAAATCTTCAGGAGCTGGATTAGTGTCCTCATTCAAAAGGTGTAGGTATTCATGCCACAGATAAGAGAGGAGTCTCTTTAAATGGCAAGGCTCATGGGTCTGGGTGACTGTGATTGTGAAACCTTCACACAGGGGAAACATTTCTTCACCTAGAAAAACAAGTCTTCCAGGTCCAGGTGAAATTACAGTCATTAAGCCTGTGAAAAAGTTTGCACCTCTTCCCCTTATCCAAAGCTGTACATATCACTGTGGCATAGGAAAAATTATTATAAGCAAATGTTTTCCATGATAATGTGTCATGTAAGCATTACAAGCAATCTAGAGGTAGATATTTTATCACCATTATACAGATTGTGAGACTGCGTTCCAGAGAAGTTAAACCAATTGTCAGTCCTCACTCCCTTGGGAAGCGATAGAACCTGAACACAAATGCAAGCAGCTTGATCCTAGAGCGCAGGCCTTTAAGTTGCAGTCAGTCAAAAAGCAGTGATGGGGTGTAGATCAAGACCAGCAGAGGGACAGTGCTGATGCTGTCTGTCTGTGAAAATCATGGATTGTGGTCCCGCCACATCAAAAAGAGGTAGATCCTTACGGCCATTGTTGTGACTCATCATACAAGAATCTTTTAAGAAGTTAAGTAGTTGATGAATTCAAGTCATTACAATAACAAACTTTAAAGAAAGTAACATGGGGAGGGAGAATCAGGAAATTTCTCCTCCCACATTTGAGAAGCTGAGACACACTCACTTCTCACAGGCAGTAGGAGAATAACCAGTCAAGAAAAGAAGCATCATAGCATAAGGCTCTGAACAAAGAGCTACAATCTTACCTTAATAAAAGCAGCAACAAAACTCTACTGAGGTCACTTCCTGAATGAAGCTCAGGTTCAGGACAAAAATGGGAGTAATCCAACTCCAATTCACTGAGGCAGAAAATAAGATGAATGTGTTCAAATTAAAATGGAGAAAGCAGGATGCAAACTCTGAAAGCTAAAAACAGTGTCAAAGAACCTGAGATAACAGTGAGGCAGGAAAATTCTGAAAGCCATGAAATTTTGAGAAGCAAGGGAAATAGGTAAACTGTCCGCAATAATTCTGTAGGAAAATCAACTCAGTGATGGCCAACTGCAAGCAGTGACTGTATTGGTGGAATGTTTTCACTCTGCAATGAGAAGGTGTCGCTGTTCTGACACCTGTCCAGAAGCATCCAGCCCATTCTGAAAATGCAAATAAATCCACTAAAGGAAATCTCACCTCATTTCCCGGGGGTGGGACCCATATAAACAACTGGCCTAAAAGAAGGATTGTCATTGAGAAAGAATGAAGCCAGAGAACATCAGGAGATTGGAGGTGCAGAAAACCTGTTCTACTTCTCACAAAGGCTGGAGGGTGAATTTTATAAAAAGGCATAAAGGGTTGAAGGAATAGCTCTTGATCTTGACATTTCTCAAAACTATAAAATATAACTTGTAGAATGTGATTTGAACTTGGAAAATATATATATATATCTGGCCCTAAAAATACTGTATAGAGGCCCAGCATGGGTGGGGTCCCGCCAGCCTGCCCCATCTAGTTGATGGGGCCAGCAGGCTGTGGGGAGGGGCCACAGGGAAGGGACGTAAGAGGTTGGCAGGCTGGCCATGCCCCCTAGTCAAGCTTGTGGTTGAACTCCCAGTTGAGATAATAATTTGCATATTAACCTTTTATTATATAGGATACCTAAGGATTCACTAGGAACAAGTCAAATGCTGCCTGCCTCATTTCCTTTTGGATAAAAGAATAGAAGAGTAAACAAACAAACAAAGTCAGTGTATCTTCTTCCATTTCAATAAGAGATTTAACAAAGTGTAAAGTTCTGCCAGATAGATCTAAATGTCCCAGAAACAACCACACACTGTAGGATTGAGCAGTCCTCTGATCAATAGTTCATGTCCAAAACAACAAGAATTTTGATTCACTAATGATTTATTGTCTACCTACTGTTTATGAGAGGGGCCACATGCTGACCTGACAAGCTCAGAGGAGGCCTGCATGGCGGTCTTGCAAACTCAGAGACCTAAAGTAACAACAAAGGATGGGCTGAAATTAAACTTGAACTAAACGCTGTGATGGTGGGCAGTTACATCCTAGGCCAGCCAACCTTTACCTTACCTTAACTGTCTTTTTGCATCTGTGATAGCATACCCTTGAAGTCTCTGGGTAACTTGTAACTTTCATTTTTCTGGACCCCAATGAGGCACAACCAAATGTGGTGGGTGCCAGGACAGAGACCACAAATTCCTTCTTTATCGTGTTAATTGTTCTTGCACCCACCTAAGTATATGTCCATCATTTTACCTTTTATCCAATCCCAGAGGTTTCCTCCACTCTGCTTCCTCCCACTCCTTTAATCCATCACCAGTGAATTTCATGTAACCCATCTATGTCCCTCCTTTGATTGCAATGTATAAATACAGATGTAACCCACCATTCTTGCTGAAACCGGTATGGCTCAGTGGATAGAGCGTCGGCCTGTGGACTGAAAGGTCCCAGGTTTGATTCCCTGTGCAAGAGGCAGCTGATCTAACTCTCTATCCCTCTCCCTTCCTTTCTGTAAAAAAATCAATAAATTTGATTTTTTTTAAAAAGATGCAAATTAATTTAGAGCATCATGCTCATTTCTGATAACCACAATTTGCAGAGACAAGGAGAGCATCCAGAGGAAAATAAGTAAATGGATCTAAAATAATGTCATCTGAAGCACAGTTCAGACGTGGAAGACTTGGGGTGGATAGTTCTTCTCCATCAGGGGCCATCATTTAGAAGACTTAAGTAGCATAACAGATTTACTCTGCCACTTATTACTTGTGTGATTTTAGGCAGGTAATATTCCCCTGTACATAATTTCCTTATTTCAAAGCTGATAACAATCTCATAGGGATAGTGTATTATATGAACCAATACTTGAGAACACAGAGCCCTAACCAGTTTGGCTCAGTGGATAGAGCATCGGCTTTCGGACTCAAGGGTCCCAGGTTCAATTCCAGTCAAGGGCACATACCCAATGGGAGGTGTGCAGGAGGAAGCTGAACAACGTTTCTCTCTCATCAATGTTTCTGACTCTCTATCCATCTCCCTTCCTCTCTGTAAAAAATCAATAAAATACATTTTTTTAAAATACTTGAGAACACAGAGAAGAATGCTGTGAGCCTAATAATAAAAGCCACTTGAAATGAGAGGAGTTGTGTCATCATTAGGGAACTTTAGGAAATGAGGGAAACAGGAGAATTGTCCATAGTATAATAGTTCTGTAGGAAACTGGGATAGTCCAAGAATAAACAGGCTACATAAACAAAACTAAAATGTACTGCTTGGATTATACCAGTTTTACATTTTTAAACCATTTAAGGTAGAAATGTTTCTAAACTATATTCCATCCTAAAGAGGAGAAAGGTACTGGTAATAAAAATTCAGAGTTTTCAAGGTCAAGGAGAAGGCAAAGCTTTAGACCAGGCCCCAAGACACTCATCGGTGAGCATTAGCATTAGCAATCCAATACCTTGAAGCTCTCCACTGGGGCCACAGAGCTTGCCTGTACATTATTTTGTATCTCTCGATATATTTATTTTTATCATGACTCACTGTCATCAACTTGAAAATTGTTTACTGAGTAAGCTGTAATGTGACAATGTCTTCTAGGCTTTACATTAAATGGCTCCAAATAGTTTTATTGCTCTTATTTCTGCTGTCTATGTAGGCTCTGAATTCACTGTCACTTCTTGAAGAATCTACTTCTAGTAGCCCTGCCCACCATAAATCCCCTCCCTGTTTCTGATATGCTACCAACTAAAACCTAAATGGAAACTAGATAACCACAGAGTTCAATCAGAGAACTCCCTCTTCATAGGCTCAGATCTGAGGGTGGGTCTCCACTCTGCTGGAGCAAAGTACATAGACTTTGAGATCCATAGTGCCCTTATTGCTCATACTTTTTACATACTTCCAATAGTCATAACTGGCGAGATTGCCAAATAGCTCTAGCAAAAACTTCTTCAAATTTCCCAAGTTGAGAAATTGTTCTATACCCGTGTTCCTTCTTCACTTCTTATTTCTTTATTTTTACAGTAGACCCTTTAGCATTTCTTGCATTGCTGGTTTGGTGGAGATAAATTCCTTCAGTCTTTTTTTGTCTGTGAAGCTCCTGATTTCCCC